AGGTAGTACGAGTCCTCGTACTCGACACCAAGTTCTCCTGTTAGCCCGTTCCAGTGGGTTCTTGTTCTTCATAGCAAATTATAATATTCCTATTGTAAATCTTCTTACTAAAGTGATTTGCTGGAGTCTGTTTATGATAAATCTTGTTGTTGTACTAGTTAACAATGAATGTTTTCTTACTATTCAGTACTTGGCTACTCATAATCATAGGGAAGTTCTTTTTCATTTTTTCTTTAAATGTTTTCCTTCTTTATTTAATTTTATTATTATTGTTAATTTATTTTTCTTGAGTCTGTTATGTTCCAAATTCTTTAATATCTTTATTATTTTGTAGATACTTATGGATCCAATAAATACTATGATGTGATAATAAATTAAGATCTTTTATCCACATTCAATTTAAATTTTTGTTTACATTTTTCACAAAGAAATTGAACTGGAATCATCTAAAACATACCTACACATTTATTACAAAATCTATTCTCACTTGTTATTTCCAAGTGAATTTAGGAGAGGCTATCTAATTTGTTATAATGTATTAAATCAATTTGTAAATTATTAAATATTGATTTATCTAGGTAAATATCGGCTAAAAGAAACAAAATCATTGTCCTTTCGCTATGAGGTTCAGAGCGATATTAATTAAAATACATAATGGGTTCAGCTGATTATACTTATTTGCCAAACCCCTCCTGGAACTAAATATAATCTACAAATTATTTATCTAAAAATTTCCCTATTGGTTGTTTAAAATCAATTAGTTATCCATCGTTTTATCTGAAGACAAATCGTATATTTCCGAATGCAATATTACTTTTTCTGAAAACATATGTATCGCTTAAAGATGCTTCTATATTAATTCTTTTAAAGGCTGAACAGATTTGAAGTATAAAAAAAAGTCATCCAAAAGAATGTTATAATCTAAATTCATATTAGCAATAATTTTATTCAGATGCTGTATAAAAATATACTCGTAATTAAACACTCGATTTGGAACATCATGGAATAAAACTTAGGAGATGCTTTAATTTTAAAGTTGTTATTGAAAATACTAACTTTACATATCCCTTAATTTGTTGTAATATTCATCCTTAAAAGAGGATTCTAAAAATTATAAAGATAGTTCCTGCATATCATTTCTATACAAAATCAAAGTATATATATAGTAGCTTAGAAGAGGGGGAAGTTAAAAAGGAGTAGATCGTTGAAATCCAAAACTTGAAAGCCAATAATACAAGGCTTCCAATTATAGCACATCAGACTAAAAGTTGTAATGAAATTATTGAAAATTTACTTCATTTTTTCTTTTTTCATAAATATCATTCTGATCATTCTGATTATTATAATTATTCTGATCATTCTTATTGTTTTATGATGATTGATTACTATCATTTTATACTTTCTCCTGCTTATAAAAGAATTGATTTGAACCATCTTTTTAGTTCTTTTGCTCTTTCCAATTTGAATCTTAATCATAAGTAGAAATCGAATTAGAAAAACTTCTTCTTCTTAATTTCATATCCTTCTTAGAAATTGAAGTTTATATGGCATGTGATTTATTTGAATTGTTACTTTATTTTAAGTCAATTGAACTACCCCTTTTTATTGTAGTTAATATCCACACTTTCATCTTCTTTCTGTCAGCGTGAGAACTGACACAATTAGCATTTTTTTGATGATGCATAATTTTATAAACCCGCCTTTATATATTTAATTTTAGAAAATAAGAGTGAATAATTATGAAATAAAAAAATTATCAAAATTATTAATTTTTATTATGAATAAGCCAAACCCTTCCACTTTTTCATGAATATTTAAAAACTTTATTACTCATATTATATTTAAACAATTGGAGCGAAGTTATGAGACATTAATTAGTCATCAAACATCTTTTGCAAGATTAGCCTATGAATAGTTTTCAATCATTGGTATTTCATTTGTGAGGTTAGGGAATGAAATATTTTTCATAAAAATATTGTCGTCTGGCTTTTGATTTAAAATATTTGATATTAATAGCCAATCTCAAATGTCGGCATCCTACACTACTGCGTTATAGAAAAGATTATTAGTACTTTATTGAAAGAATTCCTTTATCCCATCAAGACAATAACAAGTATATCTGCAAGGATAAATTAGAATAATAGATATAAAGTGACATAATTAATCGAAGAATTTTATCAACTCTTACTCTAAAGGATTTAGGAAAGAATAATTCTACTTTTTGGAAGTAAATTCTTTTTAGAAAATCTTCAATTATTTTATATTATTTCATTATATTAATAAGAACATTTCAATCTATAGCTTATATAATTTCAAATAATTGAATTTATGATTAAAAATTTAGACTTTATTAATTCAAAAAGTTTCAAATTGTCCCCCCTTTAGATAATTTTATAAGTCAGTGCTTTTAATTATTTTCTGTTTTTAAGAAACAAAAAAAAGTTTGAAGATATAAATATTTGAGGAGAATGAAAAGGAAGGAGTTACATCCATTTAAGGTATAATATCTTTTCCTTAATATCATAATTGCCCTTCTTAGTAAATTTGGTAGGATGTTAAATCTTGTGGTTCTCCTTTTCCATTAGATCATATATAATTAGTTCTATATCTGATTAAGCCAAACAATCTTAGATGCTTATTTGAATTTATTAAGATTTGAGTTTGCTGTTCGATCTTAATCAATTGAAAGAGCAATATTTAGAAAATTCAGATGCATCAAACTTATAATCTACTCTAGATTCTACACCTTAGAGTTTTAAATAATCATGTATGTTCTAAATTTGCTTGAAACTGCATCCAAAAGAGTAATTATCCCTATTTCGTAGAATCTTTTACTTAAAATATAAATTTGTGAATAGTCATTATTCCAAAAGATTATTGTTCTATCATTTAATCCTGAAATTAGGCTTCTATAATAATAAGATAATACAAAAGTTAATAGAATTGTTATAACTGTTAATTGGGCAATTAACTTTTTATCCTTTTAGATCCTACATTTAAATTATAATAGGAACTGCAAATTCTCCACTTTTAAGATGCCAAAGGCTAATAAAAGCAGTCTTGAGATTAGCTAGTACATATATTAAATATTAATGAGCTACTAAACCTTCCGATGATTCATTTTGCTTAATATTCTGCATTTTTATAAGTTTTTCATCGCTAGCCACCAATCCTATAAAATTGAAATTACCTTTCTCTTTTTTCATGTATTTTTGGAATTCCAGCATTCATTTTTATTCATCCTAAAAATATTATTCTTCTCAATCTATTTTATTAAAATAAATATATCGTGCATTTAACGACTTTTATTGTTCCAATTAGAATTATAGAGAATGATGCTGTCAAAAATAGAATGATTTAGTTTGTATTTATTTTTTCGAAATTGATGTTCATCAAAAATAGATGGTTACACATAATCATTAGCATTCTTTTCAAAGCTTAGAAATATTATTTACTCCTTATCAATAAAATCCATCTCAGTCAACAATTCGAAAGATTTTTATTAAACTAAATGCCTTAAAGCCATTATTTATTAGATATTGCCTATCTTTATCATATTTAAGTTTATGTAATGTAGAAGACATAATTAAAGAGAATAGCAAATAAGGTGTTACTATAAATTTCTAAGCTTATGATATCTCTAACTGTCAAAAAAGATCAAAAAATTAAATAATATTACTTAGCATATACTTTTTAGTAGCCATATTTATTTTAAAGTTAAGTACACTAATGTTGTTATCTTCCATTCATGTAAATTTAATAAACAATAATTAAACAATATGATACCCATAACATTTGTAATGCTTTTTTAATAAACTAATTTTATGATTAAAATATGAGGATTCAATCTGTAGATTTTTGAATTCTAAGACAAATCAATCCTCCTCTTATTGGCTTAATCCATAAGCAATTAATAGGATAAACAATCCTGGTATAATTTTTCAAATGATTTCAATTCTATAATTTCTTTCACTAAACTAGAATTATTTACATTTTGGTTAGTTCCAAATTTTTAATTTAAGTTACATTATTCCTTCTCATGTTGAGCTGCTTGGATTTATATTCTTTTTTTATTAATATGCATATTAAATTTCTTAAATAAGTTTAAATCCATATTTCAGAGATAATTGCCATAGAATTGCCTATTTTTACAATTTTTCCCACTCCATCAGAGAAATTTTCTATGGTACAGTTAAGTTCTAACATTCTTTCGCTGATGTATTAAATTATGATCTATGGCTTTAAGGTAAACTTATAATATTAATCAAAACTAATATGCAATAACAAATGAACCTATCACTTATAATGGAAAAAAGTCTTACAATTTGATATATAAATTATGAAACATTAAAAATACAACAATGATATCATATATGTTAATTATAAAGTTTATAAGATTATTATTTTATAGTTTAATAGGTTTAAAAAAATGAGAAATCTTTTGGTGTTTGGAATATTAGATCATGTGTTATATATGAGCTTTGTAGGTAGTTCTGATTATTCAATTGCACTGATTTGTTTATCAGCAGGAATATTGTCAACTAGATTGTTAAAAGAAAATAATTTGGTATTTTCAATCATAAATATGAGCACAATAATAATAATGATTTTGAATGCTATGCTATTGTAATCGCCAATAATGTATGTGGCTGTTGGTTGTTCAATTATTATGGCTATGAAATCATGGTGGACATGTTTCATTAGTGCAATTGGTATTGTAGTGATTAGTTTAAAAATTGATATCATCACCATTTGTGAGATTTTGGCATTCCTATCAACAAGTGCAGCTTATTTGTTCTACACTCATTATAAAAACAAAACCAAAATAAAAGAAACCTCAAAATCTGAAATTCTCAGCATGATAACAAAAAGAGATTCAATATAATATAAACAGCATGTTTTGGAAATTGGTTAATAATCACCGAACAAGGAAATTGAACAAACAGAATACAATTTATTCAAAAAATTATTAACTGCATTTCCTGATGGAGTTTTAATATTAGATGAATAACTTCATGTTTAATTTAATAATGCAGCATTTAGAAGTTTGATGAATGAAACCTTTGCTGATGTTGCAAAATAGAAATTGTTAGCTCTAAGAAATGCAATAAATTCGGAATAAGATAATTATTAATAATTGTTTTTGATTCTATATAAAAAGTTGAAATCCAGATCAAAAAGCTTGGGTAATGAAAAATCAGATTACATCTAATTGAAGAGCTCTGTAGAATAAGAAGAGGAGGATTAAAATAATCAAGATAATGAATAGCATTATAATAACTTATCATAATCTCCAATAATAATTGATGAAGTTAAGTAAATTTTTAAACAAATGTTGGAAAGAGAACCTAAATGTGATTTAAATTCATTAACATTAAAGTTCTTCTAGGACATTAGCATCATATGCTAAGGAGAGATGCAAAAGATATTCTAAGTAATTTTAAAACCTTACATCGCATATAATAAAGGGTTCATTTTATTTATAATAAGAGATATTACTCATGTGAATTAAATAGCCGCTCTAGAAAAAACTAATTTTAATAAATCCCAAATGCTATATAAGGTAGCACATGAATTCAAAACACCTTTAAATATAATCATTCAAAGCGTTGGAACTGTTTTAAACCCTAATCATAACGCAAACGATTAGTGTGTAAAATAGTTAGAAAAGTCAATGTAACCCATTAAATCTATGGCTTCTTCATTGTTAAGTTTAGTAAATGATCTTTTGGATGTAGCATAGTTGAAAGCTGGGAAATTTAATTTATAATTTTAATAAGTTAAGATAACTGAGTTAATAAATGAAATCATTGAGATAATGAAAATATAGGCGAATTCAAAAGGACTGTATATGAAATTAGAATAATAGAAACACGTTCCTCAGTGGATAACAACAGACCCAAACAGAGTTAAGCAAATAATTTTAAATTTGTTATCAAATGCAATTAAGTTTACAGAAACAGGTGGAATTACTATTTATTTAGATTTAGACGAAGATTGTGTTGAAATAAAAGTGAAGGATACCGGGATAGGGATACCTAAGAATGAATAAAACAAACTATTCACAGCTTTTGGTAGATTGGAGAATAGTGATAATATTACTGGAGTTGGCTTAGGATTGATGATATCGAATATATTGGCTTAGAAATTAGGATAAGAGATCAAAGTGTACTCAGAGGGGGAAAACCAGGGATCGACATTTTCATTTAAGATTCACAATAAGAAGGATATTGACGATAGTGTGTGTATCTTATATGATGAAGATAACGAAGGGATTGTCAATTAGCTTAGGAATATACCTTAAATGTGCAAGTATAATGAAATGGTTTAATCCCCGAGTAATATTAGTATATGTAAATGTGTACAAATATTAATTGTGGATGATATGCCTTTTAACATTTCAATTGTTGAGAGTTAGCTGAAACAATATGATTTGATAATTGACAAAGTATTCATTTTGAATTTAAAGTATTTTTTAAGGCATACTCGGTGAAGGAGGCAATCGCAAAGATTGATGCTTATAATGGATGTAATCTACATTCTACATATGATTATATTCTTATGGATATTGAAATGCCAATCATTAATGGTTATTAGGCTGTATCTATGATTAGAGAGCGAGTGAATACACAAATCATTGCATGCTCAGCTCATTCTAAAACTGAAATATCTTAGTTATCATTATTTGATGGGTATCTATAAAAGCCTATAAATGTTAATTAAATATTTCAACTACTAAAACATAATTGATTATATATCAATTTATCTAAATAATATATCAAATTTCATGTTTCATTTTCGATTAATCAAATTTCAATCTCGGAGCAATATTCATTGAAATCAGCTCTTAAATTAGGGTCTTTGCTGCATATGGCATTTGAACTTAATAAATTTTATTTTGATTATTTTGATTTTTGCATAAATTGCAGTAGAATTCTTGATTTTCCAAATTAGCAACAGCAAACATTCCACATTTAGAACAAACGTGAACTCTGAATGCATCTGATACATCATATGTCCTTTCCTTTAAAAATTTAGCAGTGCCTATAATAAAATTTAATGTATATTACCATGTGAAATAATGCAATCTCTTTCCATTTCACCGAATCTTAATCCTCCCTTTCTACTCCTACCATGAGTAGGTTATCTGGTGATTCCAGTTACAGGTCCTCTCGATCTTGCATACATCTTATCATCTACTAAATGTCTTAATCTCTAATAATAAGTAGGTCCAACAAAAATAGGAATTGAAAACATATTACCCGTGTAGGGATTCGTCATAACCTCATTACCCCATTTTTGCCATCCAACTTTATGCAATTCATTAGCAATATCATTTACTAATATCTATGCAAATGGTGTAGCATCATTGAACTACCCCTTGATGGAAGCTAATTTTGATGACAAACATTCAATTAAATGTCCTACATTCATTACATAATATTACCTATGGTCATTCTTGATGGAATACAATGTGGATTGATAGTTAAATCTGGAGAAATGCCTACAAGAGTGTAAGGTAAATCTTCTTGTCGATAAGTCATTCCACAAGTTCCCTTTTGTCCATGTCTGCTGCAAAACTTGTCTCCGATTTGTGGGATTCTTAATGACCTCACCTTTACTTTTACTAATTTATATCCTTTCTGATTTTCGCTAATCAAAACAGAATCAACAACTCCTCTTTCTGCTCTCCTTGTTAATAATGAACATTCCTTTGTATTTTTTTAACCGTTTGCTGTGTTCAACATTATATTATCTATAATTAATTCTTTTCCTATAATAGGCTCCTCTTCATCTACTTTAGTTCCTGGTGGTACAATTCCATCACTATCTAATTTGATAAATAATTTGCCTGCAAAATTGTCACCAATAGGTTTTGTTATTTTAGTTTCAGTGAAATTATCAGGATCCTTATCCTCTGATTCTTTATATGTTCTATAGAAGACAGATCGGAAGAATCCTCTGTCTATTGCATACTAATTGATAATAATTGAATCTTCTTGGTTATACCCTGTAAAACATGCAATTGATGTAACGCAATTTATGCCTATGGGAACTTCATTAACTGTGATAAAATCTACTGCTCTTGATGATGCTAAGGGTTTTTGAGGATAATGTAAGATATGAACCAATGTGTCAAATCTGATATTGAAATTTGTTGAATTCAATCCCATAGCCTATTTACCCATAGCGCTTTATAAAGTATTCCTTGGCCCTTAGTTGTGATTAGCAAATGGAATAACTGATGCACAAACACCAAACATCATACATGGGTGTATTTCGCAATGAGTGTATCTCTTAAAGTTCTGTGTACCTCTCATCATAATATCTATGTCCATGGCTATTAAAGAACCTTCCTCTTCTTCGACATCCAATAATTCTACACATTTATTTTTCAATAATTCTTCCCAATCATTTATTTGATTTAGAACACCCTTCATCAACTTTAATTTATTATTCTGGACAATAAATAAAGGTCTCATGCATCTTCCAGCATCAGTGTAGATTCTAATTTCTTTATTCACGTAATCGAAGTTGATGGATACTTCAATAGGAATGTAAGATTCTTCAGCGGATCTAAGGTTTTTGAATTCATGAATGAATTATTCAGGGTTTCTAGTAAATCCTATCCAATTACCATCGACTAATACTTTCGTCATTCTGGGTATGTCTTAGGCTTAGAAATCTCCTTGAAGCAAGATAAAGTCAAAGTCATTTTATTAAGAAACCATAATCAATTTTAACAATGTTTCTTTGTCTTTTGATTATAAATCATTTGAAACAGTAGTCATTAAAGATAAGTTCTTGACGATACCAATTTTTTATCCTTCAGGTGTTTCAGCTGGACAGATGAATCCAAAATGAGTGTTATGTAATTGTCTAGGTTTACTCAATTTCATTTATGGATTAATTGGTGCGTTCATCCTTCTCAAATGACTAAGAGTTGCAAATAATGATGTCTCTCTCTTTAAAGTTTAAGCCACTCCTGTCTTAACAACTTAACCTTCCTTACTTCTTCCCCAATTTCCAGTGGCTAATGCATTGTCGATGTCTTTGGATATTTATTCTCCATCAAAAAAGGATTTAATATCATCGGGCTGTCTCATATTCTCTATTTTTGTTTGTTATCCTCTTCCTCTTCTTCCCCCATTGATGTATTTCTCTAAGGCCTTTTTAGAATTCTATTTAAATTATTCGAATGATGTCTTGAACACTCCCATCATCATAGCTCCGGCCATGTCCAATCTTTTTTTGCCATAATGATCTCTGTCATCCTAATCTGTTTTTCCCAATGATGCATTCAATAGTCTATGAACTATATATCCCAAAAAATAAGCTTTTCTGTCTCTACTTTCAGTTGAGACTCCAATATGTGGTAAGATATTTTTATTAATCAATTTTTTAGCCTCCTAAATCAAAGTTTCAGGATCTTAATTTTCAGCCTTCTTTATTTTATTTCCTATCCATCTCAAACATAATTCTTCATCTTCATATTCACCTCCTTCCTGCAAAGACCCATACAACATTTCTAACATGGGACCCATAAATTCATCTTCTAAATTGTAAACGATCCTTTCTAAAATCTCTTAATCACTACTGATGCCCAAGGCTCTGAATAAAGTAAAAAGTGGTATTCCTTGAGTTGAATTGAATTGTTTAACACTGCATCTGATAACAGGAGTGTTTTAAATATATCGAAGTTCAACTTTAAAGACATTTGGATTGGAAAATAAGTCTGGTTATGATCTAATTTCAGCCACCCATGGTTTATTGACTATTTTGCTTTTGAAAACTAACACCACATTGTTTGCAATTCTTTCCTAAGCAACAATAACTTTTTCAGATCCTCTTAATATAAAATATCCTCCTTGATCGAATCCACACTCCCCATTTTATATTCTCAGCTATATTAGTTCAGCATCCTTCGGATCTTTTTGCAATGAACAAAACCTACTTCTTACCATTATGGGCAATTTGAAAAAAGGTAGTCCTTTAAATTATTGTTTACTTTTCTCTTCTATTGTGCCATCCCTTTTATTTCTTTATTACATCGTGACTTCTAAGTCTATTTTTAGTTATCTTGAGTAGGTAAGATCTCTTAATCGAGCGATCATAGGAAAGATTTCTTCCTCAAATTTATCCACGTGAATATTCTTTTTTCCCATGAAACATCTTGTTATTTAGAATTGATATAGGTATTCAAGATAAGCTAAAGTAGAATTTATTTCATAATACCTTCTTGCCGCTCTTCTTCTTTGTATTGAGGTTTGACTCTGACAACAAAAGTACCTTCATGTCCTCTTACAAATTTGATCACATTTTCAACGAAGCTTTCATACGAGCCTATTTACTATGAGACCAATCCATGAGTTTAAAAAAACATTTGAAGGACCTTCCAAATGTCATCGTTGTCTAATCTCTAATGTTCGTCGTCATCGTCCTGCTGCATAGAATCTTACGAGAATAATTTCGAAGACTCTTCATCAATGTCGGACATGACAAATAATAATTAATAATAAGATTAAATGCAATTATACCATCCATTTGTAATTAATTTAACAAAATTTATTCATGATTATTTGTATAATAAAGGGGAATTCGGTATAAATAAATATATAAATAAATAAAAAATCATTCATTCCTTTGAATGATAGAATCAGCAACTTCTTTCAAATGCCTTAGGTCTTCTGATGTTCTTCTGTCCTTCTCCCAATTTTTCAATTTATTTTTCATCTTTCTCACATCCTTCTTCATTTAAATAATCTTTTATTCAAATTCAGCAGGAAATTCGTATTTAATTTCATCCTAAGAATTGATCACCTCCTTAATTTTTTGGTTCCCATCCAGGATTTCCTTCATGTATTGCTTAAACAACAAAGCTGGCAACTTGATATCGCTTTTTCTAATTTCTCCGTTATTATTTAATTTCTGCTTCTCAACTAATTGGTTGTACAATTTCAATTTTTCTGAATTCTAATGTGAAATCTTCTTGTTTAGTATATCACTATGTAAACTATCCTATTTGACAACTCTGAGTTTAATTGGAGATCTCTGAGTATTAACTTTCATGTTCTCTTGATTGTTCATTTGAAGCTAAAAGTTTATGTCATCCTGATTCATATTAATCTGTTGAATCGATTCATCTTAATTGATATGAAGTCTATCCGTATAGGCCTATATTAATTTCAATTTATTATCAACATTAGAAAAACTTCTCTGTTTACCTTATATAATCATTAGAGATTACTTAATGAAAGCTCACTCTATATAAGAACTTTCTTAGTTGGACTCTTTATCCTAACCTACTAATTTTATTTCCACTTCTCCTTGCTATTGTTAACTACTCCGCATGAACTCTTTCTCTCAGTCCTTTCTGGTGATATTGATTGCAATTTTGTCACCAACCGATTCATGCTATCCCTCTCTTTGATAAATGGTACGAACTTTTATGCTAACTATTTAGTACTACTACCATTTCCTTGATAAATATTAAACATTACTAAATTATTCTTGATTCACTGACTGTTAGATTGCTTATAATCCGCCTTAAGTAATGTTTGAACTATATGATATATATCTAGGTCTCAACATATTTTAATTTCTTTTTTCTTTTTAATAAATTCAATAATTTTATTTTTATGAGTTATCCATGTTTAATGCCCGAAGACGGTTCACCAATTTAAATTCAATCTAAAGTGTATGTTGTTGGCAGAGTAGACAAATGTCACCTCAAGATTGATGTAATTGCCATCCTATGTAAAATAGCATCCTTCAATATCGAAACAACATTGTGAAATATTAGTGCAGGATAAAATCTTAATCGTTGATAAGCAGTCTCTGAATGGAACATTTGTAAACGGAGTTAATGTGGGAAAAGGACAATAATTTGAAATATTTAGTGGAGACATAATCCAATTTGGAAAATACCCAATTCTCTACACATTTTATAGCGATACAAAGATGGCATACAAATAAAAGAAACCCAATCAGCCAGTTAAAGACATGAAAATATCAGTTGTTGATTTCGTAAAATAAAAAAATTAAGAATTCCAAAATTAACAAACACCGGTAATTTAATAATAATCATCATAATAAATTCCATTTCAAATCAAGCATTTCAGTCCTGATTCTATTTTGATGGCAGATAAACAAAAAATTGATGAAACTACTTAGGATCTGATTAAAAATAAAAATATTGAAACAGCTTAATAAATCATCTCCTAATTAGACAGAGAAAATAATGATTTAAGGACATAGGTTTTGTAATAATAGGCAGATTATGATAAAAAGTCATAGGCATTTCTTGATTTATAATTCAGATACGAGAAATTATCAAGCGAGTTTTCAAATATATAAGTATATTACAGTTATACTCATCTTTAGGCAAAGTACCAATCTGTAGAACCATTTACTAAGGATTTATAGGCCAAACTTGAATAATGTAGAAAAGAAAATGAACTTAGATTGGCAGAAATAGAAGAATACAAAATTACAGATATTGGAAAGAAGATAGCAATATAGAATGTAAATGAATAATTTATATTGAAGGCTGAAATCCTATAATTAAGGAAAATACTATAATTAAAAGATGAAGAAATTTAAGGATAAAAAAAGCAAATTACTTAATTACTATCCAATGTTTCAGGAAAGTAATATTCTTATAAATATTAATAGTCCTCAACATCACATCTAAATGCTTGAACAGAATTCTAGAGAACTTACTTAATTAAAAAAATAATTAATAGAGTGGGAAGGCAGAGATAATGAATGTTATAGGAAATGGACTCAATTGCTATAGGATAATGCTAGAAAGGAAGAATAAATTAGAGCTTTAAAATACTAAATCGACCGATTAACACAAAATATTTAATCTCTTCATCAAGAATTTGATATGAAAAACCATGAATTAAATAAAAGGATACTTCAAATAATTGATGCTCAGGGTGACTAGCAATAAAAGGAAGCTGCTTCTTTTCTAGTCTAACAAATTGCCATTATTTCTGAGGAAAGAAGAGTGTATTTGGTTGAAGTAGAAGAACTATTGAGGTCGAGATAAGAGATTATCACAGAACTAGAACTACTAAAGAAAGAAGAATACATAATCCCTGACGGAACTAATGTCACATCTTTAATCAAGGCCTTAAGATAGAGAGTGGAAGAATTGAGTGACATTTTAAATGAATACAAATAAAGAGGTAATAAAATAGAAATGTTTAGATAGTTATGATTAATTGGTGATTTAAAAGTAATTGATTGAGGAATTAGAGTAGAAATTAAATCTTGCGGATAAGAAAAACAAATAATTAGAATTATAACTGTTTTAATTAAAAAATACATCACCTCAATATTAGGCTGACGCTTAATTTGAATTCTTTACTAAGAGAATTAATGAGTTGACTGCTTAGATTAAGGATCAATAAAGAAAAATTAATTAATAAGAGGGTGTTGAACAATAAAAGGAATTACAGATTTAGAATATGAAATACCAACTCAATACAATCAAACTGAATGATTAGTAGATTATTAATCCTATATTGCAAAATGAATTTAAAAATGAGAGGATAGGAAATGAATTTGAAACTTGATTTAATTACAATTGTAATTTTATTCATAAATTTATTCAGAAATGTATAAATAAATATATATAAATAATGAAAAATCATCAATAATAATTAACATTAATAGAATCCCTGTATTTCTAGAAAAAGAAAAAATTATTAAAGGAATAAACCTCTATATAGAAGTTGAATAAAGAATTATAGAAGAAGAATAACAGCACATTGTAAAATAAATAAGAGTTAGCAAAATAGGGAGAGAATTATTATAATTTTTTAATTGAGGAAAAAAAAATATAGAGATAGCAACTACAGTCTTAGGGCTTGATGTTTTCTGATTAAAATTTGGGGTTATATATTGGGAATGAAAAATCTTCCATTAATAATGGGGTCATCAGTAGAAAGAGGAGAAATATCAGAAATCTTGATCCAAATGTACTATTGCAGAAGACATAGAGTAAAAATGAAAGTTCTATTGAAAATGATAGCATCAATAAAATTCAAAAATTAAAGGAGAAAATGAACTTAATTAACGAATCGCAACAATTACTATAGGATACAGATATAATGTCTACTTTGTAAATTAAACCCATTCAAAGCAATTTAGTAAACTTATACTCCCCCTTAAAATTGCCTTTGAAGTAGAAGTCATCATCTCAATATTTGAAAAAGAGTGACGAAGGTTTGTTGCAATCTCCAATAGATAGTTATATTTTGAAGAAATTAGAGAAAATAGCTGAAGGAACCAAAGAATAGCAGCCTATTTAATAGTTTTCTCCTGAAAGAGTATGTTTTTAAGTTATTTTAGGCTTAAGGAAGATAAATAAAAAAATTGTTACCAATTCAATCTCTAACAAGACATAAAAATTCCTTTTTTGGTGAAATGGCTTAATAAAGAAATTCAGTTGACTTTCAATCTGAATAGTATCGAGACAATGTAATTAATTTGTTATATTATTACAAATTTAGAATTCTCTTAATTACAATAAATAACAATCTGATTAATAATTGTCACACATGTATAACTAATTAAAATAATTAAGTTCTAACAGATACTAAAGTATCAAAAGTATTGATATATTTTGATAAAAATAATTTACTATTTATCATCTTTTATTTTTATAACAATATTTTAAAATACATAATAATTAATTTAAATAAATTGATATTCAAAATGGAACGAAAACCTATTGGAGAAAAACTCAGTAATATTAGTGCTTTAATCTAAAAACAGCAAAAACCAAAAGAGTATTCATTTGATTGATCTAGTTCGCAAGATGACCAAGATGAAATGAAACAATACAAGATGATTTTTCCAAACATGAATAAATAAGAAAGTGCTGAAAAAAATTAGTTAAAGGATTCTGATAAACTTTTTTAAGTATAATCCATTATATAGGAATAAAAGCAATTTCAAAAGTATCTTATTATAAAACTATTATTTTTTAGTGATATTTCGAAACTTTTGAATAGATTGGGGAAGGCGCAGGAATAAGATCCTTAACCAAACACTAAAACTTCAAGTATCAATCAATAACAAAGCCCACAACCTTTTGAATAGAGTCAGAACTAAACTCCTAATAATAGAATGACTCAAAGTGTATCCCATTTACCTAAATAAGGGACACCTGCCCCACCTCCATAACCAATTCAATTATTTGTATAAAATAGCCCAATTAATGATCAACAGTACAGAAATCTAAAAGAATAGAATGTAGATTTGCTTAGATAGATTGCATAATTGTAGCCATTACAATAGGTAGCAAATGATGTAAATATAATTGTAATTCGAATAGCTAAAACTGTTATTATAACAGTCTAATGATCGAGTTAGAGAGTTACAAAAGTAAATCGATGTAATCCTACAAGACAACATTTAATTGAAGCAATAAATGATTATTATTGAGTAGGAAAAAGTAAACAATAAAAGATAGTTTGATGAAATTATGGCAAACACTTCATTGATTCATTAAAGAGAAATGCAAGCAATAAGATTTTAAGCACAAGAGAATTTAAATGCTTTAGAATCTACTTGGAAATAACAATATGTGCTTTTGAGAACAGAAAATGAGGCTGTTATAAATAATTTGAACGCTAAATTAGCAATTACATCAAAAGACAATTAAAGCCAAGAGGATCTCATTAATAATCTTGTGGCTTCAAATAAAGAACTCTAATAAAATTTATGTAATTATTCTTTTCAATTTAGAGATCAGAACGACGGATTTAAGTTTTGTTTAGCAAACCTTGGTATAAAAGTAGAAAGAATTTGATTAGTTGTAGTATAATTACAATAATTCTTTGGAAAAATATGAAGCTAATACAAAATAAATGATAAATTAAAATTTGGAAAAATAGCAACAATATGAGAAGATGATAATCGAATTAAAATAACATAATGATATTTTAAGTCAATAAATTGTTGAATTAGATTAAACTCATAAATAATCTATATCTAATCAACAATTAAAGGCACAGCATCATATAAATGGTAAATTAGAAGAAGTATAAAAAATGAGTATTATTGAAAAACAATAAATTCAATAGCACTATGAAGTAAAACTAAATAAATTGAATTGTGATGTAATATATATATAATAATTAAATCTTAGAAAGAATCATAAATTAATTAATAATAGTAACAGATCATATATTTAGAATAAAAGTTAGCAATATTGGTTCAAGAAAACAAAACCTTGGTAGATTAGTTAAATAAGGCAAAAAAGAAAGCAGAAAATCTTGAACAAATTATGATGAACTAAGAAGCAGCGTATTAGAATTTAACAAAGGATTCATAATCTAAGACTTTATCAATGACAAAATAGATTTAAGATTTGAATTCAATGATCGGAAATTTCAATTAGAACAATAACAATCAAATAGCGAGTACAAGAAGGTCGGATTATCCTGAATTGACAGACAAGAATTAATAATTAGAGCAATAGTTGGCTTATAAAAAGGAAGAAATGGACTTGCTTTTACATCATTTAGATTAAGTATTTGAAATTAACAGAGATTTTGAAAACAAGATTAAAACATTGTAAGCCCAGCTTGAATTAATGGAAGAAAAGAGTAATAGAGAATAAGATCAATATAATAATTAGATAAAACAGCTAAAATAATAAAATGAAGACTTGAAATAAAGGGTAGAAGTGAGCATTCAAATAGAATAACAAAAAGACTAATAAGTTAAAGAACTTTAGTAAAAGCTCCTTGAAGAGGAAGTTCTAAAAAGAAAATAAAATGATTAAATCTAATCGAATGAAAAATAATAATTTTTGGATGTATATTCTATTAAAATATCATTTAGCAAATCAAACAGTTAAAGATTAAAAATGTTGAATTAATCAATCAAAATGAGATTTTAGAGTCAAATTCAAAGGAAATTAAAGATAAATATGATTAGGCCTTAAGAGAATAAAAAGAATAGCAATAAGTATTTTTATTTCTAATATAAAAAGCGTTTTGAGGAATAAAAACTTATAATTGAATAGTAAATTCAATCACTTCAAAAAAAAAATTAAGAACAACCACCAATAGTTAACTAAATGAAAAGAGACATCAAATCGAGTGAAACGGATAAATCTTTCACAGATAAGGATTATTAAATTAAAACTCTTGAATAAAGACTAAAAGAAAATGAGAAGAAATTGAAGGACTACGAGTTGAAATAAAAAACTAGTGATGATATTTAGAACTAAAATAAGTAAATGATTTAGCATTATGAAATCAAAATAAAGGAATTAGAATTGAGAGTAACTACTTATGAAGATCAAATTAAGATCAACAATAAATAGAATAATATCTAATTGGCAAAAATAAAGAATCTAGAATCCTAATTATTAACTTGTGAAGATGATATACAAAGATTGAGTGATATAAACTAAAATTTAGAAAACCATATTGCTAAATCAAGTTCCATGAGACCTACTTCTTAACCTAATAATAATGCAGAACTATAAAAATTATAAGAGGATAACTTAAGATTATAAGAGTAGGCAAATTAAATAAAAAAGGAGAAAATAACGATGTCCCAAAGTTATGATAATTAAATAAGTTTATTGTAATCATAGAATTAGAGTAATTTGAGTCAAATCAATAAAGTTAAGATGGAAAACTAATAACTTTAAGATAGTTTCAAGAAATAAATATCAAATTTAGAGTAGAAAATTAAAGAATTGTAAGATTAGATTAACAATTTGAAAAATGAAAATTCTGAATTGAGATGTTAAATTGATGATTCGAATGAACAAAATAAAACACTCTCGGATTAAGTTGCAAAATTAAAGAAAGAGAAAGCTCATATGACTATGAAATTAATGCATTCTGGTATAGCAAATCTTGTTAGTAGTTAAGTGTCTTAAACTTAAGAAAAATCTGAATGAAGCTATTTATTTGATAATATTGAGTATTATAAATATTAATAATAATATAAGGAGATATGTGAAAAAAGATATTATAATCAATTTTTGAATTAGTTGAATTTTGTGTTGTACAATAATTGAGGGATGAATTTGCTCATAAAGGTTTCTTACTTTAAAATATATAATTCAGCATTATAATTTTAGGTAAATCTAGTTACTGACGATACTCTATTATGTTTTGGATTCTTTATCTTTTTTGCAAGAATTGTAAGATTATTGAACTCGAATAATTTGGGAGTAGTATTTGTTAAAGATCTTCTTGCAAAACTATTTAGAATATATAATATTTACATACTGATATTATGATTACAGATCAAGTAGCCTTTTGGATTTACTTTTGTTTCTATCAATACAACGTATTGAATTTTCGGAAGACAAACAGGATGAGTTTTCTAATGATTTGTTATTCAGTAAATATTCCATATTACCAATAGTAGCTTTTGATTATCTGGGAGCAATAGTTTAATTTTTGAGTCTTTTTTGAGTTTGTCTAGATTGAGATTTCAATTTTTTCTTTTCTTCAATTTCAGTTAAGATCAATTCAGCAAAGAGATTAATATTTTTTGCAACATTAGTAATATTAAATTCATTAAAGAAATCTGAGTATTCTTTTTGTTTATCAATATCGAAGGCGATTTTTACATCTTAAATAATATAATCATTCGATATAATTTTAATTTGCTTTTCACATCTATTTTAGTTATTTTAATATTTAAGAGCAGATTCTTATATTTTGTGTAAATTCACTTTAACTTTTTTATTAATTTTTCTATCTTAATTTTATCGGATATTTTCATGATTAAAATACTCTAGTATGATATTTTTTCTACTTACTCTGTAATGAAAGACAGTGCAATTTTTGGCTATGTGATGAGGTCTATCGCAAATGTAACACCGTAATTTTAATGGTTTGAGATTATTTTCAACCTCAAGACAATCTTTCATAAAATAAAGCTTCAATAGATCACTCTCAAGAGGTTTTGCTGCTTCCCATAAATCAATCCTATTTAAACTCATAACATTAACAAAATCAATTGATTTTGCTGAAGCACTTCTTGGTTTTCTCCCAAAGAAACCTATTTCACCAAAATAGTCTCCTTTTTACAATGTCTTTAAGAGTGTTTCCTTTTAAGTGATACAAATATTAATTTAACCATTTTAGATAAAATATATCTTATCATTATCAAATGAATTTTCCTTGAATACATATTCTTCAGGTCCTAAAATCTATTCATTTAAAACATAAACAAGTTTGTTTATTAATTAAGGAGTAAATTCTTTACTAAATAGCTAAACCTTATGCAGAATTCTTCCATTCATTAGACATATAATTTCAGTTTTCAGATTTGCAGATAGACTTCTTAAAACATATTACTCATAATTTCTAGCTATTTGAGCCGATCCTGCCAACCATTCTAGATAATTTTTAACTCTGCTTTACAATTCCTTCGGTATGCTTTTCTATTTGATATATCTATGAGTTTATATTTCGTTATATACCTAATGATTTTAGAATTCTGAATCCTCTACTCTTAGATTTTTTCATCTTCTCCCTCTATTATGAGCATAAAACTAGACATGCTATAACCAAATATTGCTGATGCCAAAACCATAGCAAATATTGCAAATACCATTTCAATTTGCGTATTGGCATTAATATCTCCATAACCCACTGTTATCATCGTGGTTACACTAAAATAAAAGGCAGAAATGTATTTGATTTCCCAATCTGCATTATCAATGCCGTATTTGTGCATCCATGTTAAATTAACTTATTCATCGGTGTATTCTATGATATTCCAAATACAAGCTATCCAATGAGCAATACTCAAAATTAAGCATGCTATCTTTAAAAACTATATCACTTCTTAAAATGACTAGGCCAATGTTACAGATTCTATCAATATTTTTATAAATGGATTTACCCTCTAATTTTTAAAGTATTTTACTGATCTTAAGTACTCTTAATAATCTCACAATTTTAATGAACTTAAACAATCTCACTATTTTTATTAATTATGCTTGAGAATCTTCAGCATTGAACATTTGATCGTAAGGCAAAACTGCTAAAAAATCTAACCAAAACCATAACTTTAAATAATTGATCGCAATTTTCTTTCTATCATAAATAATTTCACCTCTATAATATGCAAATAGGAATACCTATAATAATAAGCAAATTTAAAATTCAAAGCCATATCTATATAAAAAAACACATCCATGAATTAATTGAATATCTAAAATCCGTAGCTTAACTCGACTGAATATGTTAAAACTAATGGAATTTAAATCATTTGGACAAAAATGAATATCATACTTATCAATTCCCAAATAAGTCTAAATGTTGAATTTGGATTGGAAACTTTTGGTATGCTCAAGATCAATTCTTTAATTCTTTTCTTAAGAGATATTTGTGACAAATCTATGGTTTGTCTATCTTAAAGGTAATATATTATATCCCTTGCATCCTTATCATTTACACTTATGATTGTAATTAATTGTCTTTATTACTAAATTTGCACTTTGGTAATGTCTGAAGCCTTGTCTTAAGTTAATGAATCATTTACCTACCCAAATATTCTAAATTATATTCTTGAGAGACCTAAGTCATACGTAGTTTTAATAATAAATTATTACTTAATTTATTATATAAACTTCAATCAAAATTTTAAATGAAACTGAAGTCTTAACAAGAAATTACTACAGAAGCCAGTTTTGTGTTTGTTAAGCAATTAAAAAATAGGCAAATGAATAAATTTTAACTTTGAATTATGACAATTCTTTAAATGTAATTAGATTGTATATGAAGAACCCTGAATAAATTGAATTTAAGTAATATTACTCTTTGAATAGAAAATAAAACCAATTATAATTGAATTACATTGAAGAATATAAAAATGATGGGTAAAATAAATAAATTATTATGTTTCAAAATCATTGGTGTTACTCTTTTGTAATTTATTCTAGTTAATTCTAAATTGCATTATCTTAGTTCTGTTAAACTTAAGCATTGTCTAATTATTATTACTAAGGTTGTTGTTGTTGTTGTTGTATTTATTATTATTATTAAATACCAATTTGTTAATTTTCAGATTACTATTAGAAAATAATGTTTTCAATTTCCTCCTATTAATCTTAATAAGGATATTATTGTTGTTGTTGCTATTATTATGGTTTTGTTGTTTCTTTAGAAATTTATGAATTTGATTTTGAGTTTTGCATTTTTGAGAGACAATACTATGCTTTTACTAAATCTAATTTATCTTTATCAATTTTTTTAACATCAATCACATAATAACTTGACACAGGTCGATGATCGCTGTCTAAACATTCATTTCTTCTGTAAAATTTTTATTCAAGCTTAGTTTCTTCTTTGTGTTTGGCCAAAATTCTATCACACCAAGAGGGTGTCCTTTATTTTTTGGAGGTATCATAAGTCTAACTATTTTTATCATATTTATATGTTGGCAAAAAGTCTATCAGGCCTTCTTAATATTATTGTAAATATTGATTTTATGCTTTGCATTTCATTAATTGATCTTAATTAATCAAATAACTTAAAATTTGTTTGGCTTATATATGATTTTTATCTTTTGAAATGTAGGATTAATATGATTTAATTTTATCAACCGTGTCCTGATAAGACAAGTCAATTCTGAAATTCATATCTCCAAAAAAGAATGAATAATCTAAATTATTCAAATTGGTTTTATATTTAGAATTTTGAAATGCTTTAGAGTGAATTTCTTCTATATCTGATAATCTATACTGATTCTTTTTATTTCCAGAAGTCATATGACAGCAATTGAATCCAATCTACAAAATATGATTAATAATTTACTAATGAATCATCAAACTTAAATTTAACAAGAACACTTCCTTTGTTACCTAATGTTCCTCTTAATCCAGTTTTGACTACATCTGTTTCAATCTTGGTTACTCTTGAAATTTGCGATGTTTTAACAAAGATGGAAATATATAGACCTACCAAATCGGATTCAGCAATTTTAGCATAAGACTCTAATTTTTCTAGATTTTATTGAAATATGTTATTCCACAATTAAATGGTTTTTTCATTACTCATGATAACAATGTTTTGCGGATTTAAATCTACAATTTCTTACAGTCCAAATACTATGATATCTGGATTCGATAATTGATTATCTTAGAAATTTAAGATATTATTAGAAAAATCAGTTGTTACAGGGTGATTTCCTCCAACATTCCAAGTTACTAAAAGCACAGATATTTCGCGATTTACACAGTATTAGTTTTCCTATTCTATTATCCAGTTATCAAAATGTGTATTGGCATCTGATCCTATTAACAATTGATTGATTGTATTTTATTTGGTGTCATCTTCAAATTAGCGATTATAAAATCTTTCTATGTTATTATATCCATCTTTAAGCATGCCCATAAATCCCCTTTTGCCTTCTCTTGCCATTTCTGATATCGTACTTCCTGATCCTGAATATAGGAAACTCAATTGATCACCATTGTTTGCCCACATGTTCTTATATTTGATGATGAGATCATGCAATAGCTTTTTGTTTGATTCATCAAATTAATTTAAAATACCATTATTGTCAATGTTGTTCAATTATAATTTCTGACTTATCAAAGTCTAATTTAAACTAAACAAAAACAGTTTACTCATAAATAAATTAGTTCTGTCCAAACAATCTAGACAATTGATTCTAAATACACCCTATTATTCCGAGATGATTTAGTTGTCTTTTTCATAATAGTATGAAAATTATTCAAGTGTTTTTTCAAACTATTGAATATACAGATTGAGTCCTGTAGATTTGCCATTCTTAACATGAGCATGAAAATCAATCTACTAGTACCTGACATGATCCAATTAAGTTGATTAAAACTAATGGTAGAAATTCTCGGTTAACAACTATTCGATTGGTTTGTTATTTTGCATCAGGTTGACACAAAATATTTTACCATATCTTCTCAGCAAGTTGAAGTGCTTGATAAAAGCAGCAGATGTGAGTTCTTTAGATCTGGTCAATTTAACACTTGAGACTCCATCTTGATTCCAAAATATGGGTACTGAACCTCGAATAGCAACAAAGCTAATTATTGTGTCTCCTTTAATGAGAATCTGCTCAGTTTCAATGAAATTAGCGACATGCCCATCATCATTGATTCCTCTTGAGTAATACCGTGTGCCACCCATAAATCTACTTCTTCTAGAAATCAAAACCACTGTCACTAATTATTTGTCTATATATGATTCTATTTATTCTACATAGCCTTAAATCATAGGGAATTACCAATGGGACGAGATCTTATTTTCCCTAAATCCACTTAACAATTTCTGATTCCAGACAAAACTATTTTCAAATTTGTTAAAGTGTCTAGCTAAGGTGATGTCGCCATTGATAGAAAAATAGAATCCTTATTATAATAATTTCTTCTAATTTCCCAAACTCTCCAAGATATCCTTATTCTGAGTGTTTTGCTCCTGGAATCAATTAAAATAATACTTCAATAGCATAATATGAGATTTGATCTATGTGATAAATGACTTGCTCTCTAATTGTTGCAGCTTTTGTACATTCTTCCACCAATACTAGAAATGACTTATTGAACGTTTTAAATATCCCTAAAATGTAGGAGACCCTTTTGTCGCCCTTGAGTTTCTCGTTCACATTCTGATTTTTGGGGCACTCTTCAATTATTTAAGAATTGCGATGAATCTTCAATTAAGTTGTAATTTGGGGCAATTCTGTTTTAATCTAATAGGAGTAAGATTACACATACAATGATGACATTTTGATATGCAGTAAGGTAAAATAATTTCAAATTAGTCATGAGTCAAGTATGTATTGATGTATATATTTAATTAAATTAATATCAATTGAGTTTTTTGGAAAACTGATATCTGTGTTTACCAGTCTTGAGCATTTCGAACAGTTGGTTGGAGTAGATTGGAGGGTCGTTGTCTTCATTGGACAAGGAGGAGTCAAGAGAAGTTTCGTTGCTTTCGAACTATGATTGTTATAGAGAGTACTCTTTCATCAGTTAATGAGGATATGGTTTCTTGGGTGGGAATGTGAAAATTTTTAGTAAGTTCCTGAAATTTGTGCTAATAAAACTGCTGGTGTCTTTGTTGTCTTCCCAGTCTCTCTTGCACGATAATAACCTACAAATTATCACATTATTTTGAGAGTGCATTTTTTTGTCTTTTGAGGTCATGCAATTCAGTTTACAAAATGCAATTGTCTTCCTTTTATTAATTTAATTCGTAGAGAATCTTTCTTCGGTCCTCTTCCCATCTTCTTTGACTATTCTTGAAAATGCTTGGATTGATCAATTTCTCAATTAATACAATGCTATACTTAGATTGGTTAGTTATGATACTGTATTTGTTTGGTTACAAATTCAATAAAAGATTATGAAACTTTGGAATGATTGAAATATTATTCAAATAATTGCATTTATTGTTGTTATTGCGCATATTCATTGATATTGTGTTGCGAAGTGCTTCTGTGTTTCAGTATGCCATGTTAATGATTCTGATTAATGTCAAATTTTAGATTGGTGCTCATTGATTTTGGTAGAGTTTCTTCCTTGCCCTTGTGTTTTCTCAATTCTAATCTTCAATATCAATTGCTTACTTGCATAATTGATTCCTATGGATTTAGGAGTAGTTTAATTCATAATTTAAATTTGTAATTGTTAAATATATATTGTTAGTTTGAACCAAAAAAATAAATGAATTATTTTAATTATGAATCCTCCAATTTCAATGTCATAGAATATCAAAAGTAAGTCACACCACTAATTGATTGATGACGAGTCTGAACTCACAGCAAGAGGTAAAATATCAGAAATAGAACTCGACAATGAATTATGCAAAAAGCAATAAACATTGTCTCTCGCCTATACTGAAATATACTTCCCACACAAACCCTATGACGTCTAATTAAAGTATATGGAGAGCGTTGTTCAATCTTTGGATAGGAAACATAATGCATTGTATAATTACATACTTCAATATTAAAACTAGATTAGAATCACCCACTGGAACAGGAAAGACGCTCTCCTTATTATGCGCCTCTCTAGGTTGGCTCTCGAAACACAGAAAGGAATAATAGAAAGCCAATAACCCAACAAAATTGAGAATCATTTACGCTTCAAGAACTCATGCACAATTAAAGTAGGTGGCCCAAGAATTAAAGAAGACAGTTTACAAACCCAACGTATCAGTTTTGGGTTCAAGGGATCAATATTGTTTAAGAGGGGATTTCTATAATATCAAAGGGAATCTTTTGAATTAGAATTGTCGAAAAGTAGTAAAGGCCAATCAATGCTAATACTTTAAAAAGGATGTCGTAATGTTCATGGCATTACAATACAAGACCTTGATAAATAATTTAGAAGAGGCAAAATAATTTGGATATAAAAATAAAATCTGTCCCTATTACTTTGAGAGATAGAGAATGGATGAGGCTGACATTATACTCCTCCCTTACAATTACCTATTAGAAAAAGATTTTTAAGATTACGTAAACATTGATAATTCAATTCTGATATTTGATGAAGCCCATAATGTATAATCAACAGCTGAAGAGGGATCATCCTTTTTTATCACACAAAACATTATTATTGAGGCTGAGAAGGATCTGGAAAAATGGATTGATGAATTGGAGACTGTCCCCATATTCTATGAACAATTAAAAGTGAAACTCAATCAAGCAAAACTTGTTTATGAATTGAAAGAATATCGATCTATTGTGGTCACAATCAGAACCTTTTCATAATATTTAGAATAACTAAAATAACAGCCAATCTTCACATTATAGGATACAAATGAAAAATATCAAATCCTAGATGCTCGCTAAATTCAAAGTTTAATCTTCCAATACACCTCAGATCAGGATAATACCTTCAGATTATGGAATGACTCAATGTTGACCAATTACGCAAAAGGAATCACAAGAAATAATATTGCCAGATACTTATCACATTGTATGATCTTAATAGATGTCATGAGTGAGTTATCCCAATTTCCAGCTCATCACTTTGAATCATGGACCAAATTCATCATGAATGTCTATGATCTAATTAGAGTAGAAGATGAAAGAGAAAAATAGAAGCAATCTCTATCCTCTTTGCAAAATTAATTCAATCAATATAAATTATCCTTCATGATCGATGTAGCTAATTAAATAACCATTTACATGTGGTGTTTAGAACCATCCCTAGCATTTCAAAGAATACTGTCAAAGAACATTCATTCTGTGCTTTTGACTTCAGGCACACTCTCCCCTTTGTAATCATGGACATGCGAATTAAGAATGAACTTCTAAACTTAATTTTCAAGTCCACACATTATCAACATTTAATAAAATCTTATCGTGTTTTAACATAAATAGTTTGATTTCTCCTATTAGCAAAGGAACAATGACGAGTAATTTAATAGGCTTGGGTAAAATCTATTAAATTACTCATATGTTATTCCAAATGGAATTTTAGTTATCTTTTCATCATACAGTCTTATGTTTAAATTCAGGAGCAAATTGACAACCAGTAAATTATTGTTTAGATTAAATGAAATCAAACATTGTTTATGGGAACCGTAATAGACAGTTGAAATGCAAAATGTGTTTGAGTTGTATAAACAACATTCCAAGAAGGGAGCCATCATGTTTGCTGTTCAAAGAGGAAAGGTAGCTGAAGGAATTGATTTCTCTGATGAATTATGCAGAGCTGTGTTTCTAGTTGGAGTTCCTTATCCTCCAAAACAGGATCATAAAGTATCATAGAAGATGGAATATTTAGAAAAAATATACAACGATCCTGAATTTAATGATTAAGATAGACTAAAGAGTTAGGAATGGTATTGCCAATAAGCAATCAGAGCTACTAATTAAGCCTTGGGCAGAGTCATTAGGCATGTAAATGATTATGGGTATTACAATTTTATTATTAAGAATCGTATTTTTGTGTGACAAGAGATTTGAGTATACAGATATTAGGAAAGGATTTTCTGAATGGGTGAAAACAGCACTCAAACCTTGGGCGAATGATGATGAAGTCCTTAAATAGACCAAAGCATTTTACAATAGAACTGATAATAATTTTCAAACTCCAAGCTAAAAGATTATGACTGAAGAGAAGAGTAGTCAATAGTCAGAGGTTAAGAAGAGGAATCTTAAACTATTCGGTCTGAAATGCTAAAAGTAATTAGAAAAACTTAAGTCTGATTCCTATAATGATATTGAAGGATAAGAGAAACCTGAATATTAATAGATAGAATCTAAATAGGTATGTGAGACTGAGGAAAAATAGCAATTCGAATAATCAGAAATCAATTTTACTCCATCTTAAGCAAAAAACAAAATCAAAATTTAAATTCAAAGTAATAAAGCATAAGTTGATGATCAAATTGTAAATTCTGCATTAAATCAACAAAAATTAAATTAAATTTAAAATAATGACAATAATACTGATTAATTTAATTATTTTACTTCTTAAAAAGACTTTTTTTCATCGATTAAGCAACCTTAGTAGCAATCAGAATCACAACGAAAAGGAATTATTAAAATAAAATAAAAAAAGTGAATCAATTTAATTAGTTTTTACAATATCTAATAAATAACATTATAATATATAAGATTTATTTTCTTATTAATTTTAAAAGGTTTAGACTTTATTTTGTAAAATCCTAATTTTGATTACATAGACGAATAGTTTATTTGAAAGTGCAAATAGAAATATAGATTATTCACTAAATGTATATTCAAGCTTATCAATTAATAAGTTTTTAAATTAAAGTGATTTTCATTAATAATTAAAATATTAAATTTTGTTTTTCTACTAAAAATTTTATGGATTAAATTAAGAATTTTAGTAGAAATATAATTCTACCAAATTAACTATATAGATGAAATTATTTTTGAGTATATTCTTATAATTTATTTAATGTACAATATCAATCGCTAATATGGTGGAGGGTGTAAATTACATGGAGTCAAAAAATTGATGGATACTATATTTGGGAGTGAAGATTTGAAGAATTTATATTATTTTATAAGGATACTGTATGACGATGATTTTTATTCAATAGAGGTTGTCTAAAATTTAGTAGAAAATTAATGTAATTCAATTGAAGAGCTGTTAAGATGGATTAAAAATATAAATTATTGTTGGATTTTAGGAAAATATTAAGAGTTAAGTTTAATAAATAGAAATTTGAAGGTTGATTAAGATTTAAAATTCTTTCTTAACCAAATTCAATGGCACGACTCTTACGATCGAGAATAGTTTTACAAATACATTTAGCTAGCTTAGAATTATATCCTGTAATAAAAATAATAAATAAATTATTTACCATCTTCAAATAGTAATTAGACTTAATTGGAATAAATTAACTATATATTAACTAGCAATCAAACACGCTAGATTAATTTAAAATAAGACTTAAGTGTATCAGTTATTCAATTAGATTCACAATATGATTAAGACTTGTATCATTATGTAAACGTAAGAAATAACTCTATTGACTATAAGAATATTATTTTTATCGGATAAGAAGATGAAGGAAAGACAACATTGTTGAATGCATTCATTAATTATTATTTTGAAACTTCATGGGATTAACTATCTAAATTAGTTGTTGCAGATGAAGAACCAATCACTGAAATATCTAGTTATTATCTTGAGCCTTACAATAATCGTCCATATGGGATACATTTGATGGATACACCATCAATTTCTGGATAGGATGATTAGGATATTTTTGACAAGATATTCAATTTCATAGAAGAATTTAAATAGTCTATTGATATAATTGTAATATGTTTGAAAGCAACACACTCACGATTAACTGAAGTAGCAAAATAAATATTATCTTCAATTGCTAAAATCCTAGACATATAAGATTCCAATAAATTGCTAATAGCTCGTACATTTTATTCAGGAGGACAAGTTGATTTTTCTTATTTAGCATAGTAAGATAGTCCATTTTAAGAGATTTATAGATACTTATCTAATAGTTGGCATCTTGAATTTAACGGAGCATCCTTAGTTAAAGGGAAGAAGTCATTAAATTAGACAGCCCCAGTTTATTTTCAAAAAACTTTAGAAAATTTTTAACAACTTGAATTGAAAATAATAGCTCAAAAAAATTAGCAAATCTACAATAATTACTTTGGATTTTAGAATAAACCTATAGCCCAAATAATTGGAAATCATTCGTCATATAACCCCTAGTAACATCAGCAAAATTATCCAGTGAGTCCATTCATCCCAAGCATCCCAAAACCTGGATAAAATTTATATAATGATTCAGATGTAGATTTTAATGATTCAGTCGATAGGGATCAGCTCTAGGAACTTCTAAAGAAATGTAATCTCATAAAGTAGAATCTATAAAACGCTAATTCATTTTAACTCTATAAATTACCTACTGAAATACCCTTGCAAATAGATGATATCAGCGAAATGAAAACATTAGTTTTAATAGGAGATTCAGGAGCAGGCAAATCAACAATGATAAACTTGTTTTGCAATTATTACTTTGGTGTTTAATTTGAAGATCCATTCAGATTGGTAATTACAGATACAATTGGAAAGAATTTCTATCAATAGTAGCAGAAAGGTTAAGCTTCCAATATAAAGGAATATTACTTGGAAGGAATTAATGGAAGACCTGCATTAAGAATAATAGACACTCCTAGTTTTAATGAAACTGATAAAGATTAGCATGATGATATATCGAAATTAATTTTAGATGCATTAAAGAATTTAGATTCAATAACTTTAATTTGTTTTGTAGTTAAATCAAGTTTAGTTAGATTATCGATTTCTCAAATGAATGTAATGAATCATTTATTGAAATAATTTGGTAATAGTATTGTAGAGTAGTTCATGTTTCTATTTACTTTTGCAGATTTTGAAGACCCTCTAGCACTTTAAGCATTACATTTTTATGGAGATTCAAACCATTTAAAAAGCCCTATAGCAGATTTTATACACCTAGCAAAGGAACCATTTTGGTTCAAATTTAATAACTCAGCCTTTCAAAGCTTCGAAAAACAAAAGTCTCTTCGATAATTATGGAATGAAGCTTATTTTTCATTTAAGAAATTTTTTGAAGAAAAAGTACTAGAAACAAAGAGCCTCAACCTCAGTTATATACATAAAAAATCAATAAAGAATACCATTTTTGATTTAAGAATATAGATAGATTAATTGTTAAATGAAATTGATGTAATTTAATAAAAAAAAGAATTTATATAAGAAAATTAGGCATAAGATGAAATTTAGAATAAGATGATTGCTTGTACAGAAAATGTGAAGATTAATATATAACCAGGTGAGTACGTTTCGAATTGTGTAAAATGCCATTTTACTTGTCATTACCCATGTTCAATTGCTGAATCAGATTAAAAAAGTAGTTGTGATGCAATGAATAATGGTGTTTGTATGAAGTGTCCAGGTAAATGAGGTTGGGAAGAGCATAAAAGTGACAGATATCGTTATGAGAAGAGATAAATGATGCAGGAAGTTCAATATAATAAGGGTACCAATGAAGAAGAAATTAGATGAAAATGAGAGATATTGTCAACTAAATTGCAAATAATTAATTGATGAGCTCATAAAATAGTCTAAATCACTCGGGTATATTCCATAATAAATGACAAAAAAGGAATATATTGAATAAAATATGATTGAAATGAATTAGACAGAAAAAGTAGGGAAAAATAAAGCTTTATTAGCTATCAAAGATAAATGTGATGAGTTAGAATGAAAATGAATATTAGTATCAAAACATTATTATTTTTATATTTTGTTTGTAATATTGTTTTTGGAATAAGAATTGGCTAAAATTCAATAGAGTTCTCTTTCTTAGTTAAAATGATATTTTGATATCCTTTGACAATAGTATATCATGATATTCATTAATCAAGAAATTAAAAATGGTAGTTTCTAATTATTAAAATATTTATAAGATTTTCTCGGTAATGGGCAATCAAAATAATAATAGCAATTCTAATGATAATATATTTTGCATAAATTAAGAAATTTAAATTATCAAAATATAATAGTTTATATTTACATTTTTTTAGTGAAAAATGCTAATTTTCACTCTCAAGATTACTCTTTGCTGAATTTTGGACTTTGATTAAGAATAATAAAAATGAAGAATAATTCTGTGAAATTTAAGCATAATGTGCCAAAATCATCAACTACATCTGTGATATCTGAATTTTCATGTGAAGAATCACCTATGCCTAATGCATTTTAATATTAGAGCTTTACTCATGCGTAAACAATCTCAGCAAAATTAAACAAAACATCTATTTACAATTAGTAGAATATAATCTTTAACACTCCAAGATGTCTTGCAGTTCCATTCAAAGAAATTGTATCTATCTTTTATTCATATTTTTAGGAAAGAGACGAAGTTCTATCGAAAACTCCCATGAATAAAGGATATTAAGTGAGTAATAGGGTTGGAGCAGCCAATCATGAGCCTGTAACATTTTCTGATGCTCTAATCAAATAATCTAAGTACACAGAGGAGAGTTTGAGGAAGATATCTAAGCTTGAGAAATTTCTGGAGAAGTAGAAAAAAAGTCATCAAAAGCCATTGCACATATTATCTAGTGAGGAGACTCCAAAAAAATTATAAGATCATAATCATATTGAGGGTCTGGTCTTAAGGAATGAGAATTAACCGAAATAAAAGAACTTGGATCCAAAAGTGAATAAAAAATTTCATTAATTGATGGATGAATTAAGAATTATTAGAAAAGTAATAATTTAACTTATCTAATAGAATATTTAATATTTTTCTGCTTTTGATGGTTCATATTCCCAATGTAGACAAGATCTCAATAACTTTGTGGCCTTGAAATAATAAAATGGTATTTTGATCAATAATGGGAATCACCTATCAAGAATAGAACTCATAAATGACACATTTAGAACTGAGAGGATTTGCGATTTGCCTGAACATGATTCAAAGTTTCTATCAATGTGTATTTGTGATAAGGAGTTTTCAGATGAGATGATTATCACAGGTACAGACAAGGGTAATGTGATGGGGTGGAACTATTTTAAGAATCAAGTCTATCATTATTATGGGTTGAATAATTAATACAATTGTAATTTATAATAGCATTCCTAACCAATATTCATCACTCAATCTAAGCAAAATATATTTGTTGGCACTAAAAACAACGTAAATTTGTATATTAAAATTAGGAATTATTAATTCTAGATGAAAGAATGAATGAAACTAAATGCTTATCACTTACTTTGTAAAAAAATAAAAACAAGCAATTTCTCAGGGCAAGCTCAATTTAATCTCCAATGTTACCTAGATTTGGAACATCTATAATAGAAAGTCCATTGGCAAAACCATTAGATCCAAACCTGTTCAATGAAACTAACTTTTAATTGGATGAAGAATTTGATGAAATAAAAGGGGATATGGAAGAAGAATTTCCCACTTTTAAGTAATTGGATGAATTATGTTTGGAGGACACTTAGATGATCAAATACATTGATGTGAATGACTACAATGTTTTGGTTACTATGACTAATGGTTTTATTCATTTGGATATTAGAAATCCAAAGATTGAACAATTCAGCTACGAATAAATAACTCATAGTTCATTAAAAGCTTTATTCACTCCCAGTAATACTAATAACATTGTATACTCAAGTTCAAGCTCTGATGAATGCTTGTTATGGAATTTGTAAAGAAATGAGGTACTGTTCCATAAGAAATTGCAAAGTAACCCTTTGGATATGATAATTTCTAAGGAGACTAAGGAGATCCTGTTCTTACATTAGGATAAGAATGATTCTTTGGTTAAAATTTATAATAATTCATAATCAAAGATGAAATATAGTGATGAATTGTATGCGCCTAATTTTAATATGTAAAAGATAGTGTTGGATCAATTAAATCAGAGTCTGTATGGAATTGGACCATATTCATTGAGAACGTGGAATTACTTTTAGCAGAGGGAAATAAATTTGATTTAAGAAGAAATGAGACATCAATTGGAATGTTTATATTGATTTAACTTCTAAAAAAAGTTTGTTAATTATTAAATAATCTATCACAATTATTTTCAAACTAAAGAAAAATCTATGAGTAGTTCTTGCTTTAGATATCCCTTTGTTAATTGGAGTTTAGAATTTTATGCAAAAATACCTGGCCAATAAGACGCAGCGCATCTGTTTGCATCAATGATCCCCATCTTCTTATAACTAAATTCACAGAAGATATTACGCTGCTGCTATAAGTTCAGAACAAAAGAAGGTCTTATCTTCTTTCTCAAGGTCATCGATAGATTCACTTGACTTTGTAAATCGTTTAATCAATTTACTTGGAGACATTTGATATCTTTTGCCGATTGATCCCTATTTATTATTATATATATATAAATGGCAAACCTTAACAAATAATTCTAGTTTTTCAAGAAATTCGTTTGATCTATTTACTTCTAATTATCTATATACCATTTGTTAATACAAGGTGTGCCAATTGTTCCTCATAAAAGTATCCCAGCTCAACAGACTAACACCCTAGATCTTCTAAATTGATTGTTACTGTTTATCCCATGGATTCAAATAAGAACAATTCTCCATTGTTGTATCTAAGCAATAAGGCTACGTGATCAAAATTGTCCCCAGTGAATGCTCTTTGGATTTTACTTAATGGAGACTGACCCCTAAATTCGTTTAACTCGTATGCTCACCTAAACAATAGAATGTCACCAGTATCGGCCTTCTTTTTGAAATATGTTTCAGATATTCTCTCGAATCTCCACATGGATTCGTGATTCAAAGGCGTAATTTTAGGATAAAATTACGTCATTAGAATGTGTTATTGAATACAGCGATACCAATCCTCTAAGTCGTTGCGTTCCAGACTCTTAAATTAAAATATCTTTTTAATTCCTTTCAGTTCCAGTCTGTTTCACTTATAGAATGTATGTCATTACCGTATTTCATGGATTTCGTTGTTCTTCACAATGGGAGTTATTGTAACTGAAATCAAATGAAAGTCAACGCATCCCTTGAATTTGTCTAAGCCCTTATAATATTACATTTTTCCATCCTGAATCTTAACGTATCGTTTCTATAGATTTAATCATAAAATTCAAATCTTACTTGCCATCCTACAAGTAACTTGGGACTCTTTTTCATTAGCCATCCTTCCTTGTTATGTATATCCTATAAATGAATGCCCTTTATTTGATTATTAGCTGAAATTGAGTACTACAGTTTCTTTTCCATGGTGCTTTCCTGTCTTATGTAGGATTGGTATTGTTGTTCTTCATCCTAGAGTATTTCAGAAATATCAATTGTTGAAGGAGTCTGATTCATGAATGTAAATTATTAAATTCAATATTTTTATATATTTAGGTCGTCCTCAAAAATGAATATAAGAATATATACACACATTATAAAAATTAAGAATAATTTTAATAAATTATCTACTCTTAAAATCAACTTAGAAGTATAGATATCCCTAATAAGTTTATTATAAAATGTATTTAATCTTTACCAAAAGATTCAATTGAGGCTAACAACAATATAATCACAGTTATTTTCATATAAATTAATGGATTAAATTCTATGAAAGTTAATTGAACAAGTCGAAATTCTCATTCAATAGAATCTTAGAAACCTAAAAAGGATATCAGAATATCTTTCTTAATTCAAGTTCATTTGTTGCAACTCATTATAAATTTAGGAGAATTCAGATTCAAAATGCTCTTTAAAATAAAACTCTTTAAATCAAAATAATACTTGTCAAAATCTAAATTAAATCGAGAAAATCAAAGAATAAACAATGATGATTCATAATTCTAATGAATAGTTTAATATAATAATTCTAAATCACTTTTAATGATAATATTTGATTAATATCTTAGATCTCAAATTTCCTCTTGTTCTAATTGGTCATATGATTAATTGATGGGTAGTATTTTACCATCCAGACTATTGTTTTCTTAGTTATCTACGATATAAATGTAGATTCCTAGTAAGACTGTAATAAAAATTAAGACAGCCAACATCATCACTGAAATGAAAAAGCTTGCTGTTCTTATTTTAATCAAGCTAATAGATAGAGGCAAAATGGACAATAAGAAATTGCATGACGATAATAGATAGGCATAGCCTGTACCCAGACTTGCTTCATCAATGATGTAGACAATGCTGGACCAAACACTGGCACACATAATTGCATAAGAAATTCCCAATAAATTAATTGCTATAAAAGGTGCATAATACCAAAGTTACACCAAACCGAAACAACCAAGACAGGATGCACAAATATTCTAATGATATGCACAATAGGATTACAAATATGGCTCTATTCTTATATTTGTCAATTAAGTAACCAAACACGGGAGTGAGAAAAGAAGATATCGCCCACATAATGGCCATCAGTTTACCTGCCTTTTCTTCTGCGGATTCATCATCTGCATACCATCGTTCAGTCAATATTCCGACTGAAAAATTGCTAAAAGTGAGTAAAGATCCAAAGAGCAACATGTTGTAGAGAATGATCATCCAATATATAAAAGGGAAGTGGTCTTATGCTTTCATTTGCTTACTTACTTCAACATTTTAAATTTAATTTTCCTATTATACATATTCTGCATTCAAATCATAAACGATGGTGATGATACAGCATACTACGCTCATTGCAATTGCAAAGCTACCACTCTATATTGCAAATATCAGATCATATTGAGCGGCTAGTTTGGGTGCGAAATACATCACCGAGATGGTTCCAAAAGAAGCAAATAGCTCACACAAGCCAACAACTAAGGCCTAATAAGAGATTTGAATATACAATATGGTCGAATTTGAAGTATTAGGAAAGCAGACTAGTTTGGATGGCTCCACATGGTTCAATTCCTATACTGATGAGGATTCGACCAATTATGATATAGTATAGGTTATAGTGAATGAAGCCTTGGATGAAGATGAATTATCCCAAAGAGACTAGAAATAACAAAACGAATAAGGCAATTCTATTTCCATATTAATCTCTTAATTCTTAACTAATTTGATGAAATAGTACTTCCACTGATGAAAGGAGTGAATATATTGACAAAGGAGGTAATACTAAACAGCAATCCATAATAAAATTCGAATTGATTATCAGAGAGTATTGGAGCCAAATAACTCTTAAAAGAATTGTATAACGATGTCGGAATATCATAATTGTAATAATTCCCCATAGGAATCCAAATGCAAAATGTCAACATACTCCATCTGTATTAGTAATTATATTTATTCATCTCTAAATTATTAATACCAATTTCATTATTATTAAAACTCTTGTTCAAAATAATCATAATCAGTATTTAAATTACAATTTTAAATAATTATGTTGAACTTATGATATATAGTTACAACCTTGTTTGAGATCTAATATTGCAATTAATACAATTTTATATCCTATAGAATCCAGAAATCCAAGGAAACAGATTATTTAGAATATCAATATAAAAGTAATAATATTTTCTGGAATAAAAACAATGGATTGATAATTGATTCTCATAGTTATTTCTAAAAAATAAACAATTATAAGTATTTGCCTATTAATATTGTTAGTTTATATTATTAAAAATAAAATTTAAAATGAGTGATTTGCTTAAATAAACTCTAAAAGGGTAGCAAAAGCAGAAACCACCAGTCCCAAAGAAATAGATGCAGAGTATTTTATCTTAATATTGGAAGACGAAGATGAGGATGACGCTGATGAGAAGGAGGAGGAATAAGATTAATTTGATGTAGATTTTAAGTAAAGTGAATGATCAAATAACTCATAGCAAGAATACGATTCCTGTTAAGTTACAAGGATCTAAACCATAACCAATAAAAGCAGATCATAATATTACTCATTGTATGATTACAAATATGATAAGCCCATCATTAAAATCCTTAATAGGCAAAAGTAACTAAGAAGATTCATGATTATTCTCCTCAGCATTGGAATGAGTTTTATGATGAGATGATATTTCATCCAAATGTAAGGCAGTTACAATACAATAGGGAACACCAATATACATCGCTGGAAAAAATAAAGCGCCCATATACTTGTGTTTACACGGAGCTGGGCATTCTGCAATGTCCTTTGCGAATTTGGCAAACGAAGTGAAACAATATGCAACCTTGATTTCGTTTGATTTTAGAGGACGTAAAAAAATCTAACTAAAATAATAGATGGGCAATCGAAAATTGAATTTGAGAATCCAAACCTAAGTGTTTAGTAGCTATTGGATGATGTGGTTGAAATATTCGATTACGTGACTACATAATGGCCAAAATAGACAGTGATAATAGTTGGCCATTCTATGGGAGGAGCTATAGCAGCTAAATCAGCAAATTTATTGATAACTTCATAAAAAGCAGACAAGGTTTAGGGTATCTAAGATGAATATTCATCCAATAGGTTTGATAGTGATCGATGTGGTGGAAGGCAGTGCAATTGAAGCATTACCATTTATGGAACAAATTGTAAATAACAGACCCAAACATTTTAAATCTTATGAACAAGCAATTCAATGGAGTTTGAATACTTCAACTTTGATGACTTTGTCTTCAGCCAGAGTATCAATGCCAGCCTAATTGAAAGAAGTCAAAGATTAGAATGGGAATTTGATAAGTTTGGATTGGAGAGTTGATCTATTGAAGACTGCACCTTTTTGGATGGGATGGTTTGAAGGATTAACTAATCAATTCTTGCAAATTAGAATACCAAAGATTTTAATGTTGGCTGAGAAAGAGAGATTAGACAAGGATCTCACAGTGGCTTAGATGCAAGGAAAGTTTAGACTGATTGTGTTGTAGAATACTGGTCATAGCATTTAGGAAGATGATCCCAAAAGCACTGCCTATAATTTCCATGATTTCATATTAAAATTCAGAATCCCAACTACTATGGAAGAAGTCGAGAAACTTAAGCAAGTTGGAATTGGAAAGTTTCATCCCATCATTGGGAATTATGAATATTAATAGAAATATTATTGAATAATATGTTCATTAGAAATACTTACCATAAAATAAATATATAATTAATTTTACACTTTACATTTTTATCACCCTCTTAAAGCATTCTAAATACATCTCCTTGTGTACAATCGTAAAAATTGCTATTACTTTTCAACATCCTAATTATTTTCTATCCATGTTTTTTTCTCGGATTAAGTCAAGATGTTTTAGGGTCCCTCCTCCAAGACCTAACTCAACAATTTGTGATATTCAATGAAGGAGAGTTTGGATAAGGCTACGATGCAATCCTCAATGTAATCTTCTACTTCTTCATCAGTCGGTCCCTTTCTCAGAGCTTCAAATAACTTTGAGGTGAATTGAGGAATAAATGGAGTGATGATTTATTGGAATTCTAATCATTTATATATTAATTAATACTGTCTTTATATTCCTAAGGGATTTGCACTTTGAATGCTTCATCTTGGGGTTTCAACATCAAGAAAGTCACTTCTAACCACGAGTAAAATACTTTCGCAGCACCTACATGTTCCAATCCAATTGCCATCAAAGTCAATTACAAAATTGTTTATAATGCTGAACTTTGTAACAATAACACTGGTGTGTATCTACCATATCTTACAAGCATTCCAAATAAATCTTCTGTCAAGTCAGGATTCTCTTCGAAACTTGACAATTGAGGCAAATGTTGGAATGTAATATTGCAGAGATTCTCAAAGGCCTCTGACAACAGATTACGATATTCAGGGTATTTATAAAATACAGTTGCTGATACCTCTGCTACATAGATACAAGCTGTTATTGGAACCTATCTATAGACATTCAAGAAACTCTAAAAGACCTAGGTGAGTAACTCAACAGAAAATTGATTAAAGGTTTTTCTAAAAGTGTGTTTTGTGTATCTCACTATTTTCTCAGCTACTCCATGCTCAAATATGGCTATTCTCTCCATGCCAAATTTTAACATTGGCCAAAGTTATTAATAAACATTAACAATTAAAACTCTAACTGTTAAATACTCATTCGATTCATTTGCAGGAATTTAGCTATTCACAAAAGCCAAACTAGAGATGTTTTTACTGAATTGTTTAATCTTGTCTTCCAGCGTATCTGATCCAACAGATTTCACTAACAATTCTTCGATTTACTATTACAATTGAACCAAATTTTAAGCAAAGATTGAACACAACTTTAAATAATAATTTTACATTGTCTCTTAACTTGAACAAATTGCATTTGCTACTCCTTTTATTAAATTGTCATAGTTAGATCTAAATGATAAAAGTTATAGATTACACTGATTGCAATTTAAATATGAGATCTAAAAATTGATTCAAATGAAGCAACACAAAATTTTGATTTTATTAGCAAATCAATTAGAATGCTTTAGTTGCTTTCTTTTAAACAGAGGATACTTAATGATGAATTCCTATTGTTATGAAATTAAATAGAGATGGCAACAATTCATTGGAGGAAATCAACTAAGCACAACCTTAAGATATTGTTTTGAAAACTAACTTAGAATTAATTCATACCTGATTTCATTATGAAATTGTTGCTGGCTAATGGTTACTACTAATACACGTCCAAATACAACTTGATAATCTCCATTAAGTATTAAACTCCAACCTAGTCATTCTTCAATATAATTTATTTAATAATTCCGCTGATTAAATTCATACAGGCTTCGAACGTAATCCAACCATTTTCACTCATTTGAGGAAAGTTTTCTGTCTTTAATATGCCTCCCAAATGTTGAATAATTAGATTTGGTTGTATGATAGTTACTAATTCCTCCATGATCTCTTTCATTTATGATCTTGTATCCAATTGCTACTCAAATTCATCCTTAATCTGAGGGGAAATGCCATACTCAGCCAACAGTATTTTATTCACCTTACTCTTTTAAACACATCCATTGATAAGCTATTCAAATGTTAATGAGAACTTGTTCTACAATTACAAATCATTCATAATCCTAATGGTCTTGATCATTTTAATCCAAAAATCAGTCAGGATGTCACTCTCAGTAAATGAATTGTCATGACAGAACACCCAAAGGAGGGTCTGTATAAATGGTTCCAATTATGCGTTGAGTAGAATTTTGTGGATAAATTTCTTACCTGCCTTAGAATATAATTTAACTAAGTTATGAATCTCTTCACTTGCTTCTTCATCCAATGCCTTTTTGCATTTTGGAAATGTCTTATACATCTCATCGAATAACACTTGTAAAACCTAAGGTTCTAATTGAGGTTATTCACATATTGTTTTAGGGATAATACCAACAAATGTGCATATTGCTTCTACTGCTTTGCTCTACAATTCCTCGTTATTTATGGAATCGAGTGTACCTTTGAATAGGGTAGTTTGACAGCTCAATTGCATAAATTGAATAGCCTAATTTAAGAAATTTAATTACTTCTTCTTCTGTGATACTAGATTTCATGAATTCCAACCACTTTTTATAAGATCTCAGAATGTGATACTTAATCGAATCGTCTGGGACTGCATTCCATTGAGTTTGGAGGTAGGTTAGGATGTCTAGCATTTGTTTGTTTTTGATGTCTTGAGCAATTAACTTCCTCTTCTCATCGTCTATGATGATCTTTTTGTTTTCGGTCAATTCTTCAGGGAGGGTCTCCAAGACATCAAATAGAAACTTCTGATGAGGACTGTTGTTTTGAGAGTAATCAAGGATTTGGGCAATGACTCTAAATGATTAATAATGTGATTACTCTAGTATCGATTTGGTTTGCTGTGAGTAGGTGTACAAGTATAAATAGATGAACATAAGTACACATTATATTCTAGTTGATTTTTAATTTTATACGCTGTAGTGAAGTATGATTTGGATGCAATTCTGATAGATTTGCTGCACTTCGGAGGGAGTGAGTGAAACTAATGAATGATTAGATTAGAAGTACTGAAGTCATACAGAATTTTGGATTGCAAAATACGCAACAATTGAAACACCAATGATGGGTCTGGATTCGATTACAATATTTGAATGCAAATTCCCCAAGCCTCATTTGATTATGAGAAGCTCCTCAGAAAACTATCAGCCTATTCGACTTGTCCTTAATTGAAAACCTGGATTGCTTGACACACTTTATCAATCGAAAATTCAGCCATGATTTAATAATTAATTAACTGATGGAATATACTATTAAGGATATGAGTGAATTCCTCTTAAATAAGTAAGCCTACTCCTATCCCCTAGATAATATAAGCTACTCAAAAAACTGGGAGCTGGAGCATTCGGTGAAATCTACTCAGCCACAGCCAATGGACAAGATTATGCAATCAAAATAGAGCGATCCGACACCAAACATCCCCAATTGCTCTTTGAATCCAAGCTCTATCAATACCTAAACAACTCCCCTATTATTGGCATACCCAAATATTATGGCTACTACCAACAAGACGCCTACAACTTCTTGGTCATGGAACAGTTAGGCAAAAGCCTCGAAGACATCTTCACAGACAATAATCGCCTCTTCTCCTTGCAATCAGTCACTGTACTAGCACTCTAAATGTTAGAATGCATTGAGTTCCTGCATAGCAAATAATTCCTACACAGGGACATCAAACCCGACAATTTCTTATTGGGCAAATCACACAAAGACAGAGTCTACATGGTCGATTACGGATTGGCTAAAAAGTACATCAACAAAGACACGCATATTCCATATAAGGATAACAAGGCTCTAACTGGAACTGCCAGATATGCATCCATAAATACTCATCTAGGCATTGAGCAATCTAGGAGAGACGATCTAGAATCTCTTGGATACGTAATAATGTACTTCTTAAGAGGCACATTACCTTGGTAAAATTTAAGAGCAAATACTTAATAAGACAAATATGACAGAATTATGGAGAAGAAATTAGCCACATCAAGTGAAACCTTATGTAAGAATTATCCCAAATAATTATTGCATTATGTTGAATATACCAAGAATCTCAAATTTGATGAAAAACCAGATTACCACTATCTTAAAAATTTATTCATGTCAATAATGAAGGAAAATGAATTAAGAATTGAATACATCTATGATTGGGATGATGAAGACACTCATCGTGAAAAAATTCTATTGAAGAATTAATAATCATAAGAACAAGATTAATTACAAAGTAATAATGTGAATAAGAACATTAATTACTCCTAATATAATAACAACAGGCAGTCAGTTATGAAAACAAAGACTTCATCCATTCATTCTATCAATAAGATTTCGGTGCTCAAACCACAATAAAATGTTAATACATAAAATAGTTAAAGTAATAATAAAAAAAACCCAATTGATAATAAAGTTAAATCAATTATCAAAAAACATTCAAGCCTACATTATAACTATAACTGATATTTTATATATTAATAAAAAGACTAATTGTTATCACTTTACAATCATTTTAGTTTGTGTTTCTTAGTGAATTCATCTAATTAATCTTCAAATGTGATGTCTGACTTTGTGATGTCTCTCAAAATAGTCTCTCCTCCAAGGGAATTCTTGCTTTGTCTCAGTTTGATATTAAGACTTGTTAGGACCTATGACAAATCCTTCTATTGTTTCCTATGTTATCCATGCCAAGTCAAATCCTGAGATCCAAAGGATTTTAATTATGAAATCTAAGTAGATTAGATGTTAATCAATTATTTGTTGATTGGTTTTAATTGAGTATTCTATGAAGTGAAGGATTCCAAGATACTGGCCTCATTTAGCAAATGTCTTTAGGCTGCATATTTATAAAAATCGGATGATGAGTTCTGCTTCTTTTTGGTTTGAACTTGAAGATTAACTTGGGATTGTTGGTTTTGATTAGATTGGTATTACCTTTGTAGAATTGAAGATTAATCGTTATTTTCGAGTTTGGTGTTAAATTCTTTTAGATAGTCATTTTTGCTTAACAATTTTTGATTCAAGATGCTTTTGTCTCTGAATTCAGGATCCAAGAAATTAAGATTGGCAGCTCTATCTAAATTCTTTTATCTTTCTTTTTCCCTTAGTTTCAACACTTCATCTAACTTAGGATCTCTGATGTCATTCTTGAACATATTTTAGACTTCTTGCAATCTTCTTTGTGCTTCCATTTATTTAAGTGTTGGTCCTTGAACTTCATTCTGATACAAGTGTCTAATCTTTTCAAATTTTAAATCCCTTGGACTAAACTCATCCTTCATGATTAATGGTTTTTTGTTTAGATTTTATAAGGAAAATGAGTTCTACCTCTTAACCTATAATGAATCTGTTAGACTATATATTTCAGCTTCTTTTTCTGTTTTGGATTACTTTCTAAGAATATCAATAACTTTGAATCCATAGATGATTCTTTTTTTGAGTTCTGATTGCTTCGTATATCTAACTTCCCACTTAATTGGCAATGGGTGATTTATATTGTATGCTGCCATCAACTCTCCATTGAGATCAAATATCTTAATGATTCCATCGATTGATGTAATAAGCAGAAATCTCTCGTCCAATTGTAAATAGGATAAGCTGGTGATTTATTTCTTAGAGGCATTAAATGTGATAATGTGTTTCAGTTTTTAGACTCCTTCGGGGCATTAGATGTGAATGGGATCATTGATTAGGACCTGCTCTTTGGCTTTTCTAAGGGGATTGTAATTTATGCGTTCATGGACAGGTTCAGTTGGTTCAAGTTGTATATTGAGTTACAATCTGACGATGTTGTTTTCACTCGTTGCCATAGCTAATTCTGATTCTTTAACGCTTAAGACAATTTTGGTGATGAATTCTTGTTCTCCTTCCTCGGTAACATAGTTTGAGCAGTTGGCCACTTCGTAGATTTGATAGATGGACGTTTTGACTTCGATGTGATCTTTCACAACAAATTTCATAAGGTAAAGTTTGCCAGTTATAGTTGAAACTCCGAAGAGAGGGTAATTAGCAATAAAGATGATGGATGTGATATCCCCGTCGAATTCGAGAAAACTTAGGCATTTGATGAATTCATAGTCAAAAATGTAGAGATGGTTCATGTAGGATGCCAATAGTAGAGAATGATGAACCGAGATCTCTATTTGCTATGATTTAAAGGGAGTGATTTCTCTTAAGACTTCAGCATTCATTTTTTGAATTTGAACACTGTCATGTCCAGATGTAATAATAAGTTTGTTGAGGATGTCTAATTTCAATTGTATCACATCTGAGTGTCCTTTGAGTTGAGCAAAGTATTCTCCAGTATGATAATAGATTTTGAGATTCCCTTTCGAATCTGATAGAATGAATTTATTATAATAATTAAGCGGTCGAAATTGGGTAATTTCATCTTCCAACTCATTTAACAGTCCATTGAGGATTCTTTTCATCCTTCCAGTATAAATATCCATAAAGATAATGTTCTTTTTAGAGGCAACAATCAACTCATCTCTTTGGGGATCAAAATCAATTTTGATAACATAATTATCAGATTGATCCTTCTTTCGAATGTCCAATTTAAGCAAATTGACTCTGGAACCCAAGAAACAGATCATTGATTGATCCGAGAGATCTAAGATTTTGGTGATCTAGGTTTTTCTACCAAAATTGAGTGACTGCAGACAAGAGAAGGTTCTGATGTCCCATAATCTCAAAGTGCCTCCATCATCCCCAGAAATTAAGACAGGACTTTTACCAATCATTTGAATGGAAGTCAACATAGATGTATGTCCACTCAATTTGCCTATCATTGTTACATCATGAAATTTCGGATTGATTTCGTAAACATTTATATAAGTAGAGTACCCACAAGTCACAAATATTTGATAGTAATAGGAATAGACTAGACTGTGGATTCCTCCATGTTCCTTCAAAGACACAACTATCTTGATGTCCTTGGTATTTAGATCCCAGACAACCACCTGTTTATCTAAGGAAGCAGTGGCAATCATCTTCATATGAACTACCTCGACACAATCGATGATACACCCTGTGATCTTATTTGTAGAGTAGATGTTAGCCACATTTTCGGTCTGCAAATCCCACTCATATAATTTAAATGTCGCATCTGTCGTTATCCATTTATTCTGATTCTCAAGATACCAAATGTTGGTTTGATAATCTTGTGAAGCATATACAGTTGGAAATATTCTGTACGTCTTAAAGTCACATTCGTACATGCATAAGGAGTGAGACTTCAATGTTAATCCAATCTATAATAATATTTCATCTAGTTGTTACTCTCTATTATCTATCCGACCAAGCAAAACTCAGGATTATTATCTCCTTGTCTTCACTCTAATTAATTTTCACTTAATTCTTCAGAGTGCCATCTAAATTATAGATGTTTAGTTTGGAGTCCAAACTGTCCAGTGTCACAATCTATTTCATACACACCTGTCCTGTGTGTACATTGTTGTTATGGTGTCTGATTGCATCATTTATCAATGAACCATTCACGATGTGACATATCTCACCATCTGCCTATCCTATGATCCGAGGAGCATTCTAACTAAATCTCTATATTTACCACGTCTATATCTCTAATCCTGGTCTTATTCAATTCAAACTTCTTTGGTTCAGGTATCAGCATCTAAGGCACTATGTTGTTAGTTATTGGTTCCACTTAACATACATAACTTGTTACATCCGATAATGACAATTCATTCTATTGACAAGTTGCCACTATGTCCTTAAACAACTCAATCAAACCCATCACTAAATACAATAACTCACATTATTTATGATGCACCACTGATATCATTATCTTTATAAACTCAACCATATTCACTCTTCTCTAAGGCCACAACCGTTCCATCACCAATAATTCATCTCTTTCTATCAGTTCCAAAATATTCTACTGCTTAGACAGTCTAAAATCTGGGTTATCAATGTCGATCATGTTTTGAAGCACCTATTCAATTATTTAGTTCACCGACATTTTATTTTTATTTATATATAATCAATTCATTTTAGAATACTACATCGTTTAATAAAAAATTATTTATATTCAAATCTAGCCCATGTTATTATTATCTGAGCTATCTCTCGCAGTAGTTTTTTAAGCACTCCGACCTTTGGTTATAAATTAGTCCATAGTTGCTTAGTATTTAAAATTTGGCTATGCTTCTTTTTTCTTCTTTGCAGTCGGCTCTTAAGCATTCTTACTCTTTTCCTTGTCAATACTAATTTCCTATTTCTCTTCTGTCTCATCTTTCTTCCATTATATCAAATTTTCCTGCTATTCCACTTCTATTTCTTATTATTTTTATTGATTATTAGATTCAATTTATGCTTTACTTTATTTTTTTATTGAGTATCCTTACTTTTATCTTTAAGTTTTTTTATTTTTATTGACATCTTTTGTCCTTTTGATTTTTTATGAATGCTCTGAGATCTATACAATTTTATCTTCCTTATCCAAATCTTACTATTTTGTTCTCCTTTAATATTATATATTAGTTTCAGTTGTAGTTTATTCCCTTTATGGATAATACGATTCTATTAACGTATCATCATTTTAAGAATTCTAACCATTCTTAAACCACTCAGCGATTTAATCTTCGTCATATTCTAAGGTACTTTAATTTCTTATCCACCATTTCAATTATTTTATTTAATTTTAGTAACAGAATATTATTAAAACTCTATAATAAATACATATAATACCCTTTGTCGTTTTCATAAAGTAAAGATCTTCCTAATATATTATCAAAGTACCTGTTTTGATAGTATTATATGTCATCATTAAACAATTAGAACTCAGGCATTTTCTGACTGAGAGTTTTCCATTGAGCAACAATTAAACCTTTACAAAGGTGACCTGGAAAATGATAATTTTTATTAAAGATTTTTTCATACGAGTCAAATAAAATGGCTCCTTTTTCTGAACTTTTAATATAATCTGCTATTTCATTTGTTTTTTTATCAAGTCCCCAAAACACCTTTTTATATTGTTCAATAACCCCAAAAAAATTAGGTTATTATTCTAAACAATATTGTCTAAATTGCTCGACCTAATTAAAACCAGAAAAAATAACCAAAATTCCATTTGGTATGCTTTTTACAAATTTTTCAAGTTTCATAAACAGATTTTTAAATAGATGACTTTAATATTGTATTTCAACTAAAACTGTTTTAATATATTCTCTGTTGTCAAATGTATGATTAATGTGAAAATATGGTAAATATGTCGGTAAAATACAATTAGATGATAGTATAATGGACTAAAATTATAATTTTTCAAATCGTTTCTCAAGATGTGTTAGGTATTATTTCACTTAAATTTCAACTATATTATCTTGCATATTAATTTAATCAGTAATTGCTTTAAATAAGTAATTAGGCTATTCATAATAATTCTCTTCATAACATATAACAGCTATTTATATGAATTTGAAACAATCAGCAAACGCTTTTAATTTTGATAATTTCGCAAGTTTTGAACAAGTTAGATAATTTTTCTAAACACAATTAATTTAATATTGGACATAGTTTTTATTACCGTATATGCTTACAAAGTCTTAAATAAATTTAATAATCGGATGCCCTTTTAAACGAAAGTAATTCTTGCATTCATCAAATTTTTCGTATAATTATAAAAGTTTCTTTTTAATTATTTCGATTGTGTGAGGCTCAAATTCTTAATAAAATTTTGTTTAATCTTGCATATTCATCTTTTGTACTTCATTGATTAATTCCTTCAATTCATCTACAGCCTTATAAATAGTACTCTTTTCGATCTTTCCAAGACATCTGATATCCTGCAGCTAATCAGCATCATCAATAATGAGTATTGAATTTTGAAAAGCAGTTAAATCAGAATTATGCAAACTTTATTAATCTATAAGAATTAGGTCATCTTCATCGTTAATTTAGATGTTATCCTATTGTTTAATCTAAGAGATCTTAGGCTTATAATCAATTTTTTTCAATTGCTCTTCTAAATATTGCTTATCAAATGTGGAATGATATGCATAAACAATTCTAATTCTTTCTAAATTTTCTTATTATGTTGAATTGTCTTTTCTATGTTTTAACCATGCAAGGGCTGGACATAATAATGAAAACAGCCTTCCTTTTCCATTAACATGTTCCAATCTAAAATTTACTTAAATAATGTACATTGCATTTTGGTGTTGCTTCAAGGACTCAATGACCTTTTCCATATATTCTCGAGATACCTTAATGTTCTTTGGTGTTCTTACCTGAATTCTATCTATTGAATAACTTTCAAACTAATCATTTATCATTTTAATTTTAATTTTCATTACTTTTTGTAATGTCATATATTTATTATTATTATATAATGTAAAATATCCAAAATATACTATTAACAAATTTTCGCTCTTTAAATTTAATTAAAACCTTTTTAAAAGGAAACAGAATGATTAAATCAATAAGAGAATACATTGCATTTATTATTCATTTATAACAATCTATCTATTTTTATTATGTATTTATAAGCTAAGATAAAATACTCTATCTCAAAAGTTGAATCAATGAGACTGACTCTCCAAGATTTCAGAGATATTAATAAAAGTCTATCTTAAGCATAATGAATTAACAAAAGGGTCATTAATTTCTAATAATAAAATATATTAATTTAAATATTCAAGGATGTCAGATAATGGTAGTGAAGAGAATTCAACTAGTAGTCGTGAAATTGATGTGGAATCAATAGCAGTAAAATTTGAAATAATTATTGTTATTTAGGTCAAACTATATGTTGAATTAATAGATGGCAGGGATCCAATGTTGAATTATATTGAGTACTTCCCAGAGTTTGATCTGAGTAAAATTTAGTAGCCCAATGGAATCAATATCTTCAAATTGACAAGCAAACTTAAGGAATTAGGCATATAATTGGAGGGACGCACAATTTCCTATTATAGTTTCAATTGTGAAATGTATATAAATTGTGGATTGGACCCTGTGCATTATTCTTATGTGATGTCATTGAATGAAATTAAATAAACGAACTAATTACGCATTAAGTGCATTCAGACTGGGATTTCACTCATTCACTTAGTGATGTCCGAGGAAATGAATGAGAAAGTTAATAAAATGAAAGAGTAGGAAGGCAATGAACAATAATAATAACAGTAAAATTAAGGATAGGAGAATCAAAAGCAGTGTAGAAGAACAAAGGAGAGGAGAATTGGATACATTATTGAAAAAGTTTAAAAATGGAGGGAATATTATAATGTAATATTGTGATCAATATGTTTAAGGGTATTACAATAGATGGTGGGAGTAAGCGATTTACTCTTGAGGAGGCTGCTCAAAAAGTTAATATCTCTAAAAAGAGTTTAGATGATTATTTACTGCAGATACGATATGGAAGAAAATTCGGCTTTAATTTTAATGAGCATAAAAATGAGAAGGTTGGAGTCTTGAGAGCATTTGTCAAGAAGAACAATTCAACTAAGAAGAAGAAGGTAAAATAGGAATGATTACCAAGTTTAAAATATCAATTAGTTAATTTATCATCAATATTATTTTATAAACCTTTACAAATAGCTATATTTACTTATTGTTGCTCTAAAGTAGCAGGTTGCTAATTAATATAGAGTGTTTTATGATTATTTAGTAATTTTGTAATTTTGTAATACTTATTTATGACAATAATTATAATACAAAATATTATTAAATTAGTCTATTTATATAATCCTGGTTTTTTTCATTTTAATTTACAATCAGATCCATAAAATATAATTGAAACTATATTGATTTTAATCAAATTATAATTTAAATTTAAAACAACAAATCCTTTATTTGCAATCTTAATTCAATCAAAGAAATGACAACACTTAAGATAAATATATTTTGAGATTGACATTAATATAGCATTGGAATTCTTTAACTTTTTTATAATAATTTAAAGTTGAGGATCAATGAACATTTTTAAATGAACTAGACTTTTTATTTCCAATCATTAAATACACTTCTTTTTCACACAGAATACAACTTAATATATAGATTATGAAGGTAGTTTAAAGTATTAGTTGAAGGATAGTAGATGTCAATGTTTGGGGATGATCTTCAGGTGGGTTTGATTATGAATTATAAATGCAAAATACAATTTATACTACATATCCGTTTTAATAATTAATAATAATGCATAAGCTTATATTATTATGTTCTCTTGTAATATTTGCAAGTAGTTTGAGTGAGAGTGAAACACTGTTGTAATCTCTACAAAACAGTGAATTTGGAAAGACTATAATTCAAACAATATAGGTTCAATTGGAAGGAAACAGCAGTGTTGATAAAATAATTGATCTCCTCACTTAAATGAAGGAGAGAATAAATGGAGAATAGGATGTTGAGAGATAGAAGTCAAGGGATCACACACAATTCTGTGATGACAAATACGATGAGATATTATTCGTTATAGATTCATCCGAATATTAATTAGCAAAAGATTAACAAACATTGCCATTATTCGTTTAAGAATAAAAAAATAAATAGAGACAATTATTGGATAAATAAGAAATAGAAGATCGAAATAATTAGCGTATTGCCGATTTAACAGAGTAAAGAGATTTAACAAGAGTATTATAAATATTTTAAATAAATATAGTAATAATATGAAGCAAGAAGAGATGAATTAACTACCATGATAGGTGCATTGCAAGAAGGAAAAAGAATAATTAGTAAATTAAGTACAAAGAAATGGGATCCTTTGGCTGGAACATACTCATTCCTTGAATTTTCATAATTTATGTTCAATGAATTGGAAGCACATTAAAAGTCTTTAAAAAAACAATCAAATGGAATTGGATTGCTGTATGAATTGCTTTTGGAAACATCACAGTAAAATTCTAGTTATTTTACAATAGAGACCCTGGAATTCAGGCAAATTAACAAGGAGTAGCAAAGATATAAGAGATAATTGATGAGTTGATTGAAAGCATATTCGATCTTTTGAAGAAAGAATTATTGGAAGACAATGCAAGAGAACAAGACTATTAAAACTAAAAGGAAAGAATAGTTATTTAAAACAGAAGATTATAAGCTACTATTGCAACATTCAAAGCTCGAGTCTTAATAATCAATCAAACCATACTTGAATTGAATAATGATATTAGATTCAATACTGATGTAATATCATTGATTAAGCATAGAAATCTACTCTTCTGAGAAAACAAAAGGATGATTGGGAACGAACTTGTGTTGATTATCACAATGGATATGTTGAGGCTACTAAGATTAGGTATGCTGTAATTTCTAAACTCTAGAACTTAATAAAGTGACATCTTAACAGAAGTAATCCAAGTATTTAATAGAAACTACAACGATTTCCCAAGTTTAATTTAGAATATAACAGTCTGATTATTTTATTAAATGAAAAATGATAAAGAGTTCTCTATAAAGGAAACTGTCAATAAGAACATAGAGCGTGTTTAGTTTCCTGCTTTCAATCAGCATAGTAGTCTCCTTGGTTGGTGTTCCATGAACTACCCTCGTGTACTTTAGAATCCTTAATTTATGCCTAAACCAAAACCAAAAGAATACGATGACAATCTTGATTTTCTCTATTAGAAACGCAAAAAAGTATTACTCAAGTTCTAAAATTAGGAATAATAAAATAATCAACTAATAAAACCATTTACGAATTATCAGCTAACAAAGGAAGCTGTAATTCCTGAAGATGTCGGTGTCCCACCTCCAGGATTTAAGAAGACCCTTAAGTAGTTAACAACCGCAAAGCCTGAATCCAAGGCTCTTATTTATAATTAAACCTATAAGGACTATGATCCTTATTTGAATATTAAACCAATCAATAGTCAATTCAAATAGGAATAGAATGAAAACTTTACTCGAAACATTCGTCAAGTTGGGGATGTTGTATACAATTAGTCTTATGAAAATGAAGACATCAGACATTTAAAGGTATTATACTTTAATTATAAAATAGAAATTGCCAAACTCAATACTTTCTGAGTAGAATCTATAAGAAGTATTAACTCCTAAGTTAAGATTCTTGAATTTGCATAATCACACATGGTTGAAGATGGAACAAATAAGCAAAATTGGATACTTCGCTATCAATCTTGAAGAGATAGTCCTCTCAAATACAGACTTAGAGGATGATATTTTAATGGAATTAGCAAAATCATGTAAAAATTTGAAATACATTGATGTGTCATCATGTCAAAAATTGACAGAAATTGGAATCAGAAACTTTTTGGATTTTACTTCAAAATATTTGCAGGGTTTCAAATGTGCTAGCAATTTATAATCTATAACTGACTACTCATTAGAGCCTCTCTAAAATGCTCCTTTACTCTAAAGAATTAATATTTCATTTTGTAACAATCTAACAAGTAACTTTACAAAATATCTACTTTAAAGTGGATGTAGATTATAAGAACTTTAAATAGCAACAGTAGAAAACCTATAAGCAGATTTATTATCTGATCTAATTTCCCGTTCTAAAGTAGATATGGAACTATTAGATGTGTCTTTCATTCCTACAAAAGATATTAGTGATTCAGTCATTTCTGCTACTTCCCTTTGTACAAACATTCATACTCTCATACTTTCTGGATCAACCAATATTAGTGATTCTTCAGTAGGCAGATTGAGTTCCTTACACAAACTGAAATAACTTAAATTAGGAGGAATTCAATATCTTGCTGACAATACTCTAGTTTATATTGCTTAGTCATGTAATAAACTTGAAATGCTTGAGCTTAATAATTGTAGTAAATTGGGAGAACAAGGATTGGAAGGAATACTCAAAGTATTTTATTTATTTAATTATCAAGGCATTACCCAATCTATAGGTTATTTCAATTAATTTTACTCCTGAAATATCGGATGCCTTCTTGTAAGAAAAAAGAAATGAGTATCCAAAAGTCAATATTATTCGAACAATAAATAAAATGACAGATCCTAAGGATGATGGATTAAGAATGCCTCTTCCCCTAGAAAGTGTTGTCATGCAAAGACCAAAAAAGAAAAAGAAGAAGTGAAAATATAATTAATATTTTGCTATAAATATATTATATTTAACTTTACTATTTTTACTTATATTGACATTGGCTAATAAAGAGTGAAAATTAAAAAAATACTTCCTTATTTTAAGTCTGCATCTTAATTATTTCCAACATATGACTAATTTTTATAAGTTTATATATATAAATAGATTATTTATAATTTTAATTGATAATCAATCAAAATGTTCATTATATATATTAAAAAGTTAAGCAATCAGAATTTAGCTTAATTTGAAATTTTGGTAGATTTAAATTTAATAAATCATCTATTACAGATTAATCTACTTATGATGATTTCTCCAATATAAAATTTGAATTTATGATTTTCACTATTAAATAATTAATTTAATTGCACATCTAATCGAATTTCTGCATTGGCTATCATAGGCTGAACATTATTACATTTTTATTTCCACAAGAAATAAATATTTGATTACATATATCTGAATATAAATTTCTGTAATGTTCATGATCTAATACAAATTCCTATAGACATATATTTTATATTTTAATATCTTAAAAAAAGAATAAATGAAATCTTCTTTAATTTGCTATAATAACTGTTGGCTAATACCTACATTTATTAATGAAAGATGCATAAAAATCATTATAAGGAATTCTCATTGTACTTCATTAATGATTCCACTTCACTTTCAACAAACTCAATTCCCTATGAAAAATCATTTTATTCTTCTTAATTAGGAAATTAAAATTGTTTATCTATTCAATGAATATGCCTTTTGAAAATAAACTTTCATTATCTGAATGAATATTCTGGTAATTTATTTTTTCCAATCAATAATCTATATTTATTTAAGGGTGCTTATGCATAATTTTATTGCTTAAAATAAGCAGGTAATCATCAAATATAAAATAGTGTACTTCTAAAATGCTTATTTTATATAATTAGCCTATTTCTCTTAGAGAAAAATATTAGAGCTTATTAGTCTAATTTTTAAATTGAATTAGTATTAAGTCTCGGAGAATCATAGAGAATGTTATATTGAAGAGTGAACATTGAAATACAATATATATTTTTGTAAGTTATATGTTTCTTCAATATTGTTTATACACAAAAATATAAGAATCTATTTTATAACTCATTATATTTAACTAAATTAGTCTAATTGCTCTTCTAAAATCAGGTTTTTCACTATGGGAGATTAAATAATAAAGTATGAAATACAAGTTATTAATAAAATATATTAAGCGTGTGTTATTTATTGTTGATTATTATTATATATTTGATTAAATTAAATATACAAAAAGTAACTGAAAAATATGATTTAAGTTTAATAATCGAATCTTTTTATTTGTGACTGTGATTTTTTCTTTATTTTCATAAAATTTAAAATGTTAGCCACATTGATGAATGAATTAATGGTAACTTAAAATAGAGAAATACATACAGAAATGATTGAAATACTATTCTAAGCTTTATAAGACTTTCTAATACATGTATCATATATCGATAGTCAAAATTCTTAAAAGCAAATCTACTACAAGAATACGATTAATTTAAGAGGTGGAGGATGCGGATAATCAAAAGTAGATTGTGTGATTGATAAGAAAGTAAAGGCAGACTAAAATTTAATGATTTCATCATCGTTACCTGACAACTATAGAACAAATCTGAGTGACACCCTTACCATAATAGTAGAAGGAGCTAAATTTATAGGAGACCCTACCAAAAGAAATGAATTATTAATGAAAGTGTAATGGTTTATTCATAACAGAGAACATTTGAATTATTTTTGTATAGATCAAAAAGAAACTGACAAAATTTATGAGTTAGTTTAAGAAAATTTTGATAATATTTTGACAGTGCTTGCAACTTACCTAAGAATTTCTGGATTTATTTGCTATTAAATTTTATAAATTTGTAATGAATTATTAAGGATTATGTATGCATTCTAATTAAACAATCCTAAAAGATATTTTGAAGCTTCAGTATAATAGGATTACTTATAGAAGTTATCAGAATTCAACACTCAATTAGAAATTGAATAAGCAAATGTTTGGAAGACCGGGATCGAATTTGAAGTAACAATAATGAAAATTATGATAATGAACTCATAAACTAATTCAACTGAAGGAACTGATTTATTAATTGACTTTTTTAAGGAAGCAGGTAAATCAATTGTGTCCTTCTCTCCAACAGAAGATCTACTTTCCACTATCGTTAATGGAGGTCGATATCTTTTAAATAAAGGAATTGAATAAACTATGTACCCTAAAGAAACCTATTAAACATATTACTTATTTTAATTAATAAAATGGTCAATAATAAGACAATTAAAATCAAAGTAATCAGTCTACAAATAAATATAATAACTAAAAGATGTTTTTTAATAATATATACTAACTTCTAATAATTGGATCTTGCATTTTTGTTGGATTTAAATGATTTTTGATATAATTGCTTATCGGCCTATTATCGATAAGTCTATTATTTTGAAAAAGCAAAAAAATTAATCATTAAATAAATGGAATCTTCTTATTGAAAACGATTTAATACATTGTGTTTCTTACGATAAGAATCAAGCTATTATAACATTCTTTTAAAATTAATCTAGTTAAGTTCATGACTTCGAAGCAACAGATTTATTGGAGTTATATGGGAAGAAAAAGTTTTTATTATTTTCTTAATTTCTATTGAAAGGAGAACTTACTCATAATATTAATCATTGGGAGTTTTATAAAAATTTTTAGTTCAAAAACTAAAGTAAGAAATCATAATAAGACTATGAAATCATATTAGCAAATTATGAATAAGAGGTACTTTAAAAATTATTTAATAATCTGAAGTCTTAAAAGGATGAATTAATCTCAGTAAATCAACAAATAATACAATCCTTTCAAAACTATTTTAAATAGGACTCTTATATTTCAATTTAAATCATTTAGGATGATTAAAAAGTATCTTTAAAATAATTTTTAGAAATCTATAAAAAATTGATTCTATTATCAAATTATATTCTTGAATTATCATTATTTGAAGCTGCTAAAATAAATATGCTTACCCCTTATCTAAATTAAATCACAATTTAAAAAAATAAATCTGTTTTATTAGATTATTAAGCAAAAATTAATGATTTTGTGAAAATTTATTTAATTGAATTTATTGACTAATTATTAAATTTATTCTTTAATGTCATTGAATTTGCAAGTTAAATATATGAAGCAAGCTTATTTTTAGCAATGAAAAATGAAGTAGATTTGGATAAAATAATGAACTTATTTGAAATTAATTATTTTTAAGATTTCTTTTTCACTTTTGATAAAAACTTTGTGCAATTTACTTTGAGCTTGAACTTCTTTAAACAACATTTTTCTAAATATCTTTCAAAAGAAGAGAAAATTGAAAAAGCCATACCATTATAAGTTACCAATATTTGGGAAATAATTGAATACAATTGCAAAGGATAATGGATCAATAAAGTAATTGGAAGACTAAAAAATGTTTTCGATTCAAAATTTAACTTATTCAATCAACAATTCATTACTCTAGAAAATGCCTAATAAGTTTTCATTAACTGCAAATTCTGTATAATAATTTTATCATTCTTAAAGTAATTCTTAAATGTACAAAAACATTATTTAAAGAGCATAAGGTCCTAACTTTAAGATTTCACCAGGCAATCTGAATCATCAAATGAATAGGAAGACTAAAATTTTAAAACCAATATTGCTTAGATTTTGGTGTAATAAAAATCAAAATTATCAACATTTGTCAATGCAAACACTGAAGAAGGTGAGGATTAAAATTTTAAAGTAAGTTGTAAAAATTTGGTGGCTTAAATTTAAGCTGATTTTGACTAAATTATAAATGAATTCTAAAGTTAACAAAATTTAGAATTATGCGATTAAATATTAAAATTTTTGGCAGAAGCATAATTTCTTATCCTTTAAGTTTAAAAAGATCCTGAAGAACTATCGACTTTAGAAAATCTTTAAACAAAGTATGATCAAGTTTTAGATGCTGTCAATAATTTTAATAATAATAATAATGAAAAAAAATTGGAAGTCTATGAGTAGAGAGATGAATCTCTATAATTTTTTGCCTAAATAAATAATCACAACGAATAGATGTTAACACTTATTAAGCAAAGTAATAATTATTTTAAATCTTATAAAAAATTATTATAACTTGGACTAAGCTTAATTCATCAATAGAAACAAATTTAGAAACAGAAACAAACAAAAATCCAATAAATCATATTATAAGAGCAATCAAATGAGGAGTAAAATAAACTGAAAGATCAACTTGTTCAATTATAAAATTAAGAATAACAAAACATTAATGCATCAATAAATAATCTAAAGGAAAAGAGCGAAAAGTTTTTTAACTTAAAAGTTATATCATAAATTAATTAATTGAATGCTAAATTTTCAATTGAAAATCAATAAATTGAATGGCGATTAATCGTGAATCTAAAATTATCTGAGTTTTTGGCATTTTTCAATTTGAAATCCAATTAAGAATACTCAAAAGGGTTAAAACCTGATGAAGTAAATGCTTGTATATGGCAAGAGATGAAAAATACATATGATGAAATCAAGGAAAAGATATTTGATTCAATTAAATTTAATCTTGACAATAAGGTCAGAGAGGGGTTAGTATACAATTTAATAAGACTATAATAAAGCATTCAAGAATAATAGATAAGCTCGTTCTCAACTAAATAGATATAGCATATGTGGGTATTTGAAAAAGACTAAAAAGTTAGAAATTTATTGAAAAACAAAGAACTAGTTTAAATTTAAAAATAATTATTTTCATAAGACTTAGATAATTTATCAGGTTCTTTGAAAGATGAATTGAAAGAAAGAATGTAAAAGCTTGAAAACCTACAACAGTAAATTAAACTTGAAGGAAATTCTTAAAAAAGAGAAAAACTTCAATTAAAATTAAAATAATAATATGAAGAGCTAGACGAATCTTTAGATAACATTTCAGAATTATCTGATGCTATGGATATTAGTTTATTATTTTTAAAGGATATATCAAAAGATGTGAAGTAAATAAAAAATTAAATTGATAATTTATAAGAGAGTTTAAATTAAGTTGGGGATGATATTCGAAAATTAAGAGGAAAAAGATATGATGAATTATTAGAAATAAGAAAATAAAAGATATTATTATAATCTAGATTAGCAGAAGTAGATTCTGTATATGTTTAATTGAAAACCATTGAATATGATCCTGTTACTGGGGAAATTATTAAATCCAAAGATGGAATAACAATAACCAATTTAATGAGTGAATAATGGAATGATTTCACAGGTGAAGTCAATGAATTTATTTGGGATGAATCTAAATCAAATGATGTTATGTTACTTTCAGGAAATGCTGGTTCTGGTAAAAGTAAAGCAGCTAGAAAAATTGAAGAATTTCTATGGAAATAAAGAGAAATTAATTCGAAATGGATTCCAATCTTTGTATCACTTCCAACTTTAAAAAATCCAAAATATAATTTATTTGAATAAGCATTAGAATCTGATAATTATTAATTTGATAAATATTAACTTAGAGAATTTAAAGATGCGATTTAAAATAAAAAAGAATTTATCATTTTAATACTTGATAGTTATGATGAAATGAAATAAGATTGTATCTAATAAAATCTAATTATGACAAATAAATTGATTTAAGAATTAAATATTGATAAAGTAAATAGGTAAATGAAAGTAATAATCACAACAAGAAAAGAAATACTGAATGTCTCGGGATATTAAACATGGTTTTACGGAGAAAGTCTAATAAAGTTGAAGGAAGTTTAGTTATAAAATTTTAATGAGTAGCAACAAATGGAATATCTAAATTAATATGTTGAATTGAGTGTTAAAAGGAAAATAAAAGAAGTTTATGAGTTTGTAAAATCAATTTCTGGATAGTCCTTTGATTTGAAAGAGTTTCTAACTATTTGGGGTTTGATTTCTTAATAAGTGATTGTTTGCATTAATAAATCTTTTTCTAGAAATTAAGATAGAATATTTCAAAATAAGGAAGAAGATGTAGTTATTGATAGGCTAAAAACTCATAAAAGCTTAGAAATTTTGAAAGAAGAATAAACAACAGGATTACGAAAAGAATTATTAGCTTTATGGAGTGCTAATAAATTTAGAACAGCTATTGAAAGTATCAAGATCCAAGATTTATTGACTACTCCATTTATGCTAGAAATTATTGTTTAGGTTTTGCCTAATATGGCAAAAAGATATTCAGGGTCTACTTAGATAAAAGATATTTTTATTAAAAATTTTATGAATTTATAAAAATAAATAAAACTGTCATAAAATGCACAAGAATTTTATAGAAAAGAGAATTAACCTTCTGTTGGAAATGAACAAAAAGACATATCAAAACTTGATGATGAATAAACTTCTGAAAAGGAGAAAGATGAAGAGCTTGAATTAAAAATTTAGAGAGCAAAAGTAGATGAAATTGTTGATAAATTAGAAAATCAGAAGTTTTTTCAAAACTACTCAATAGTTAGCACATTACATCGTGATGCAGATAATATTGTTTTTGATGGTAATACAGTAAAATTAAGCTCTGAAGTTACTAATTCTGTGATAATCGCTTTAAAAATGAAAAAATTCACAGTATTTGAATTTTATGAAGGTTTTATTAATTTTTATCATGAGCAGTAAATTCAAAAACAAAGAGAACTTGGTAAAGTATCAAATTACGAGAGTTTCTCATGTGACATTTTTCAATTCTCTTATTCGTTAGCCATTGATATGACTTTGAGAGAGTTATCATAAATTGGTTATAAACCACAAGGTAGGCTTGATCTAAAAAGTAATTATAAAATTGAATAAGTTATTGATGATTGGTTGAATTAATATTTTGATATGGAAGATGATTATAAGAAATTAATTCGAAGTTGCATCTTATTAAGTGCTAAAGGAACTACATTTTCATTTACACACAAATCAATTTAAGAGTTCTATGTTGCAAAGTATATTTTTGATCTTTTAACATCTTTGGATAATTTTGATGTTAATATCTAAGAAGAAAGGAAAGTTGAATTATCTAAAAATCAAAAGATTTTGATTAAATCTGTTTTTAATGATCCTTTATTCAACATTTCCACAGATAACTTTAGGGGTGTAATCAATTTTATTAAAGAAAAATTAATCAATGTTCAAAACATGAACTTATAATTGATTGAAATAGTAAAACTTTCTAGGAATAAAGTTTATTGTAGAGCAGCATCAAATAGCATGTATTTATTAAGTTAAATGAATGTCTATTTGGGATCACAAGATTTTAACAGAATCGAATTGGAAAATACAAACATTTCTGGGCTAAGTTTATTCGATTGTGATTTAAGTTAATCGATATTTAAAAATGTTGAAATTAATTCATGCAATCTAAATTTTGCTAACTTGTCAAACGCATAATGGTTAAATGTAATTTGTAAAGAAAAACCCTTTTTAAAAGGCTATAATAGTGGAGTTTTAGAAGTTCAATTTTCTCCTGATGGGTAGTATATCGCATCAGTAGGTACAGAAAATCAAATTAAATTATGGAATGCAGAAACTTATCGATTTATTTAAGACTTAGAAGGACATACAGCCAAAATTAATACTCTATATTTTTCATCAGATTCTTCAATACTATTTTCAGGAAGTGATGACCGCACTATTAGAAAATGGAATATAAAGAATCCTCTAAAAAGTGAAATTGTGGATGAAATGAAAAACAAAGTCATAAAAGTATAAATTTCTCAGGATTCAAAAAGGTTATATTCTTAAGATGGAGATGGAAATTTCCAAATCTTAGATTTATTAAAGGATGGTCAAAGTGAAGAATGTATTTTCAATCTCAATAATGCGTTAATCACATAATTTGCATTGCATCCAACTGAACCAATGGTTGCAGTTATAAAACAAAACAAATAAGTTGATTTAATTAACTACATAACGAATGATTAAACGTCGCTTGAACCTGTTATTGATTCAAATTAGATTAGAATAATGGATTTTACATTTAGTCATGATGGGATTTATTTTGCAATAACTACTAGTAGTAAAGCAATTGTTTGGAATATATAAGAGAATACTAAAAAAGAATTAATAATAATTAACTTCAATTAAAATATTAAAGTATATTCAATTATATTTGGATAAGATAATAAATAAATAATTTTTGGGGCACAAGAATTTTTGTTTTCAAGAGAACTAATCTAGAATGAGAATTAAAGTTAAATAGAAAAGGATTAATGTTTTGAAATTTAACTATCGCCTTAAGGTAATATAGCTGCAGTGGTTTATGAAAAGAAACTAAATATAATTGAACCAACTTCAGGATCATAGGTTAATTCAATTAATTTTGATCTTCAACCAAATCAGTTACAATTTTCTAAAGATGGCTTTAAATTGGCTTTTTTCTTAAAAGCTGAATAAGTAGTCAAATAATTCATTATTTTGGAAGTTTCAACTCTTAAAACGATATGTTTAATCTTTTGGGATTCAAATTATTGGATTAGTTACATATTATCAAATAATTTTGAAAAATTATATATTTCATATGACAACAGTTCAAAGGTTTTAATAAATAATCTTAAATAGGATTAAAAGTTAAAGCCTAGTTTCTAAAGAATACTAAAATTAAATACATAGAAAATTCAGAAGGAATTAGAGATTAGAAAATTTAGTTTAAGTGTTGATCACTTTTATGTTAAACCATAAAGTTGGATTGTAGCTTACGTTACATCAGAGAACTAGTCTATTAAAATTTATGATTTGGATAAAAATTAATAAATTCAAGAATCACTCGAAAACCAAAAGAAAGAAGTGAAGGCTGTTTAGTTTTCATCAACTAAAAATGAACTTGCCGTTGGATATTAAGATGAATTACTATTTTGGAATTTAGACTCTAAACCTTTTAATGTGTAAAAAAGAATTAATTTTGGTGATTTAATAATTAAATCCATAAATTATTCCAGAGATGGCTCATAATTTGTGTTGGTATTTCAAAGTTAGTTCAAAATCTATGATGTAGAACATAATCTACTAAGAGTTGAAGAATCTAAAGAAGAAGCATACGTCTCATTTTCATAAGATAATAATTTTATAGGGTTTTGCCTCAATCATAATCAAAATATTGTCGTTTAAAACAAAAATCAGAATTATGGATAAACATTGTTAAAAGGTCATAGGAACGATAAAATCAAATTCATGTTCACTCATGATTAAAAATCTATAATCTCTGGAAGTCCTGGCGAACTTATTTTATGGGATCTAAATACTTTTTAGATAATTGAAAAAAAGAACACTTATTTAAAAGATTTTGAATAGATAACTTTTTCTGAGAATACTGATTTAGTTGCTTTATTTCAAAGGAATGTTGTAGAATTATGGAAACGTTCTGATATTACATTAAAGTTTATTGGATCTTAAGTGTTTGAATTTCCAATTAAGTAGTTTAGTTTTATTAATGATGATAAACAAATTATTATGTTAAATGCAAATTCAGAATTATTGGTTTGTAATTTAGATTGCTTTTAATTGGAATAAACATTTGAATAGAAATTTGATTGTGGTGCAATATCTTCCAATGATATGATTGCTTTATCATAAAACCTAGAGGTAAATATATTTAGCAATGAATTCGAAGAATGCAATTTTTCTTTTAAAGTAAGCTAAAATACAAAATCTTTAAAATTTCTCAATGCTAAATAAAATGTTTTATTGTAATGTGATGATTAAATGATTAAAATTTGGGATTGTGAAAAAGGATAATAGATATCTGGAATAAAGATTAATGAAAAGGCTATGCCTTAATTGTATTTATAGAATGAAATATTAATTTTGTAAGGTGAAAACTATGTAAGAATATGGAAACTCAGTGATCTACACAACATTAAACTTTGCGGCTATCATGAAGGAATTAGTTCATTCTCTATTTAAGAAGATGAATAACTTGGAGCAGGGATTAAAGATGGACAGTATATTAATATCAAAGATATATTCAATATTTTATTTGCATTTCCAATCAATTAAGATCAGTACATTAAACAATTGCTCATGTCCATTAAATCGTAATTCCTTATTATTTTATCCTATTCAAGAAAGCTCTCTCTATTATAATTAGATACTAAAGAAATGGTTCCATTTAATGGAGACGTCAATGCTGTAGCATTATGCTAAGAAAACAATTTTATTATTGTGTAAGCAGAATCAAAAATTTTATTGATTGAATACTCTAATGGTAGCTTAAATATTATTGACACTTTTGATTTATAGAATAAAATTTCTGATTGCTTTATTAAATTTACAAACAGTGGGTATGATTTCTCGTTAAGCTCATATTATATGATTAGAATATTTTCAATTACAAAAAATCAAAAAATTATATGCAAAGGAATGCAATATCAGTTAGAGAAGAATTATGCAATTAAAGATCCTTATATAAAATAAGCTTAAATATTTTAAAGATAGGGAGTATCTAACAAATAATTACTTCTAGCCATTTTAGATCAGGAGAAAAAAACATTTCGAATTATTGACACCTAAAAGTCAAAATAAATTGTATTGATAAGGAGTAAATTATATTACAATTGTTTCTAATTAAGCTTTGATGAAGAATTAATTTGCTTTGTTAATGATTATGTGTAAATGTCTATTTTGGAGAATAACAATTTTGTAATAAAATAAATAGAAAATTTAAAGATTGAAGGATTCTCTAGATCTTATTTGAAAGCAGTTGGAAAAGATTCATTTGTGTTTGTTAATAATAAAAACTAAATCATGCTATTCTCAACATCATAATCTTCTAAAACTCTGATTGGAACAACTAAGAAAGACATCAATTGCATGACATATCTGCCTTATTAAGAATGGTTAGCAATAAGTACAGAAGAGAATAATATTATGTTTTGGGATGTAAAAGCAAAAAAGATTGTTGGAACTCTGAAAGGACATTAAAAAAAAATAAATGCCATCTCAGTCTCATAGGACGGTAGTATTCTAGCTTCAGCAAGTGATGACAAACTAATTAGGCTTTGGAATATAAAGTAAAATGAGTCCTCGGAAGCTTAAATAGCCCATTAATATTCGATAAGTGCACTCGCTATTTCTCAAGACGGTTTTTTATTAGCTTCGGGTAGCATAAAAGGCGGAGATGCTGAAGTGCCTATTATAATGTGGGATCTTAAGGAGAAGAGGCTTATAACGTAATTAAAAGGACATAAGGATTCTATTACCTCCTTGTAATTCTCTTATTGCTCAAGATATTTGATTTCAGGGTGCATTGATGGAACAATAATCTTTTGGAATATTGAATATCCATAAGCAACCAAAATGCTTTACATCATAGATGAGTTCAACTTTCCTATAAATTCCCTTAGTTTTTCACCAAAAGAATAATTGTTTGCCTCTTTCTCTAAAGTTGATAACCTATAACAATGGAATTTCAAGTAAATTGGGCAATATGAAAAAGACAAGCCTATAATTTTAAATACTAATTTAAAGTAATATTGTTTTTATTAATAAAATGAATTTATTTATATTTAGTAAAATAAGGATTAGATGACAATCTTAAATGTAGAAACTAAAAAAAAATAAGTGTTAGAATAAAATTCAAAAGTTACTTAAATAATACCTTCACAAGATGGTCGTTTAATCTTATGTTTGGAAGGCTAAGGATTATTATATATTTGGTCAAAAGACAAGGATAATAATTGGTTCAAAAAATGGGTTTATTTGTCAGAATCAAAATATATTTTACTATCTCCAAATAATTAATTTTTATTTTAAGCTAAAGATTGTACTACTTAAGAACAACCACTATTTTCGGATGCTGTTTCAAACAATTTTAGAACATTGCTTCATGATTTTTCAAAGCTTCAAAGTGTTGAATAGAAGACAAACTAAAAATTTGACTCATCTGAATAACGAGAGATTGCTTTTTCGATTGACTTAGCTCAAACAGCAATATTAAAATCTTAAGAAGTTTAAATATTTGACACAATTAATTGGTAATGCATATATGAATTCAAAGGATCATAAAATTTTAAATCCCCATAAATATCTAGGGATAATAAATATTTAGCATGTTATTAAGATATTCAACAAATAAGTAAAGAAAAATACGATAATGTCATTACTTTATGGGAAATTAATAATCCAGCTATTAAGAAATAACTAGAGGTTAAAGATAATAAATTAAAAATATATTAATTTTCTGCTTAAGATTCAAATAGGATATTGGCTTTATATACTGATGGATCAGTTCGAGAATGGAATGTCACAACCCAATTACATAAAACTATAGTGACTCTTCCTGAAACAGTTAAAATTGATCTTGTTCTATTTTCTATCAATCTTAAATTCTTAATGTTTTAGAGTTAGTCAAACTCACAATTAGAATTATGGAATTTTCAAGCAAATGAAAGTTCCTCTTTGTCTATTGAAGAAGAATTTTCTCTAATTGCTTGTTCTGAAAATGAAAATATAATTGCTGTTGCTATTAGAAAAGGAGTAAAGGTTTTTAAGGGAAAATAAGTGTCTATGATCAACGTTTTTGATGATTTAAATTTATATAATGTTTCGTTCATATAGTTTTCACATGATGATAAGTAATTGCTATTTTGCCATGATTGCACAATATACCTTTACTAATTAGAGGAAACATTAACAAGTAGAATTCTTGGATGTTGGAATGTACAATCTTTAATTCTTAGCTGTGCCTTTAATTCTAGGAAATAAGAAATTGCTCTAAAACTTAGTAATTAGGTATATGTCTTAAAGCTGTATCCAACTATTCATAAAAATGAGTTATAGGGTATAGAAAATTAAAATTGTACTTGCTTTTCACCAGATAGTAAATATTTGGCAAGCTTGACTCCTTCATTGCAAATTTTGGAGTTATAAAATCTTTAAATGATTCATAACTTTGAAGATTTTACTGGAGAAATCATTTAATTTTAATCATCGGAAATATTAGTTATTGCAAATAGGAATAAACTTTAGTTTTTAAGAATCAATAAAATAGAGAAAATTGTAAAAATTAAAGAAATTAAATTTTATAACAAAATAATTGATATGGCTATCTACTCTAATAATTTATTAATTTAAGTTAAAGATGATTTCAATAAAATAAAAGTTGTATTTAATAATATTGATAAGTTTGTAGAAAATTTATCTAAAGCAGTTTATAATTCAAAAGGTAAACCATTTTTCTCAGGAAATGGTAATTATTTTGCATTAAGCAATGAAAATATCATTGAAATAATGAATATTAAAAATATCAAATAAGAAAAATGCATATAATTAAACAGGTAAATAAATTAAGGTTAGATATTCTATTCAAATGATGGCAACTTGATAGTCGTTATTTTTGACTAAACAATTTAACTTTTTGATTCTATAAGTTTCAAAAAAGTTAAAGAAATCAAATTAGATTTTCAAGTCAGCCAATCTGAATTTTCATTAAATCAAAAATTTTTAGGCTTGATGTGTTCAACAAGCGTGTAAATTTATGCTTTTTATGACTAAAAAGATCTTGTTCAATTTTGGACTATCAAAGGAGAGAAAAATTATATAAGCTCTATTGCTTTATCTCCAAAAGGCGATTTTCTATTAACGGGAGGTTAAAATTAAGTAGATTTCATAAATTCAATTGCGCTATGGAAAGTCTAGCAATCTTAATAAATTTGCTTGAATGATAAAATAAACGATGAAGTAAAAATTCTTAAGTTTTGTCCAGACGGAATTAATTTTGTAGCAGGTCTTTCGGATGGCTCAGTTAATTTATATTCTATTGATGCTAATTAAACAAATTTTGTTAAAAAGTAGTGTTTTGAATAGTTGAAATTAAACGAGGATATCACTAAATTATAAATATTTTGTTATAAATCGTTTGCCAAATAATCCTTATTGACTGCTCAATAGTCCATTTTATCAAAGTCAAGCATAAACTCAGAAAATAAATCTATTATAGAATTGTTTCTCTAAAAAGGAGCTTGTTAATGAATATAATATATATGAAATGTTTCAGTAATAAAATCAAATAATTCTTTAAAGACAATTCCTATATCATGTTCATTATTTTAATTTTATCATATATTTAACCATTATTTATTAATTTATTTATATATTATAAAAATATTTGAAAATGGATATTAAATTAAAATTATTTTGTTAATTAATTACATATTGAGGTAAAAAGTTAGGTTAGGATAAACAATAATTTTGAAAATGAATCTTATAATAAATCTAGTAATAAATTATGATTATAATTTTTTCATATATCAATAATTATGAAAAATCTTTTATAATTAAATTAAAAATATTTCTAGGATCATGAATAACGTATTCGATCCAAACTTGTAAATTTATAAGGATAGCTAAAATAATTGCCCTGTTTCTAATATTTTGAAATCATAACCACAAAACTCATAATTTTATTAACTAATTGAAACTCATGATAATGTAACAATATAATAATTTGAAATTCAATTAAGAGGGGGAGGCTGTGGATAAGCTAAACCAATTTCAAAAGTTGAAGAAAAGTTAATTATTGGTGTACCCAATGATTTATTGGTTAAACTTGAAAATTATGTTAGCATTATCAATAATAAAGCTTCACTTTTAATTGATCCTTAACAAAGAAATGAAGTAATAATTGCATTTTAATGGTTTATGTATAATAGAGAACATTTAAATACTTGTTGCGTTAACCAAAATTTAACTTAATCAATATATACAAAATCTTTGAATTCTTTTAGGGAATTGCTAAAAATTCTTCCCATTTATTTAAGATCTTCATGGTTTTTATGTTATTAAGTTCTTTAAATTTGTAATGATTTTTTGAGAATTATATATTCATTTTAAATACAGAATGAGGATCGAAAAATGGAATTAACTATGCAATAAGAATTATTACAAGATGTAGAAGAATTTAAAGGGTAATTGAGTATTGAATAAGCAAATGTATGGAATACAGGAATAGAATATGAAATAACTCTTATGAAAATAATGTTGATGAATTGTCCAAACCAATTCAGAAGAAGGAAAAAATTTATTAATAAATATTGTTAAAAATGTAGCTTAGTCAGCTTTGGCAATGTCACCTACTGAAGACTTAATCCCAAGTCTTATTGAAGGAGCTAAATTTTTATTTTTACAATATAAAGACAAAGTATTATATCCTGAAGAGGTATATGCTACTTATTATTTATTCCAAACTCTTAAATGGTCTATCGTGAGGCAATTAAAATCTTAGTACTCAGTCTATAATTAATTGAAATAACTAAAAGATGCATTTTAATAATATATTCTAAATTCAGATAATTGGATCATTCATTTTAGTTGGATATCAATGATAATGGATATTTTAGCATATAGACCCATTCTCGATAAATTTGAAATTGTTAAAGGTTCTCCAATAGAATAATAATCAATGTGGAATAATTTAATTGAAAATAACTTAATTCTTAGTCTTCCATAGAATAGAAATTAAGGGTCTGCAGTGTTATTTCAAAATCAAGTAAAATATTTTAGCAAAGAAATAAACAACTTAATGGAAAAATAGAGTATTCCCAAGTTTAAATTAATATCAGATTCTCTATTAAAAGGTTAATTTTCTCAGTAAATTAACCTTTGGAATTTCTATAAAGATTTTAGCTTTAAAAATAAGCAAGAAATTACTATAAAGGATTATGAAATAGTTTTACAAAATAATGATGTATTATTTATAGAAAAGTAAATTGAAAGATTTAATTCTTAGTTAGATGAATTAGTTCTTCTTTACTAATAAATGAAAGATTCATTTACAGATTATTTTACTTAATAGGATAATACATAGCTTTAAATCAAATTACTCTAAGATGGTTATATTGTTTTTAGAAAATAAATTTTAGATGGATATAAATAGGCCTTATATTATCTCATTTTTGTCATGGAAAGATCTACTATTGAATTTGAAAAATTAAAGTTGCTTTTACCTTACTTTGATAAATTTAAGATTGATGTTTAAGAAAAACTAAAGTATATATTTTAGAGTATTGAAGAATTTATTAAGGTCAAATTTTAAGCCTTCTTGGAAGATTTTGTTTCAAATTTTCTAAAAGTGGTAGAGTATTTGAGTTATCTATCTGAAATTAGTTTAAATCCAATATCAAAAAAGTAAGTTTTAGATGACGAAAATTCAAAATTTTAGATTCAAAATCACCTGAATTCTTAATAAAATTCCGAAATATCATTAATATTATAATAGTGCATAATAAATATAAAAGAATTTTAACAAAAATTTTGTTTCTCAGCATCAAGTATTAAAACACATGATTACAATATTAAAATTCCTCCTTTATAAATATAAGCTATGTCAAATACTATATGTTCAGGTTAATGGATTAAAATACTAAGGTAATAATTAGTTACTAATTTTTCGGATAGATTTGATTTGGGTCAAAGTTAAGTAGCAAATAAAGATGATATTGAAAAAATTTATAGAAACTGTACTTTTAGTCTCTCTATGTTAAAACTAATGAAACAATTTTGCTAAATCCACTAATACAAAATAAATACATTTGACTAAAACCTAGAAGAGGAAAAACGTTTAGCCATTCAAGAGTAATAAAAGATTTATTAAGAATTTAAATTAATTTTAATCAAGTAATTAACATAATAAAAGGAAAAATTAGAATATATTTTGAAATCAAAAGACCTGGATAAAGGAAGTAATAATATTAAAGATAAAAAAAAATAACTCCTTTAATAAATAAAAACAGATTATTAGATGATCCAAAATGAATAAGAAAATATTATAAGCTAATAAACCAAAACGATCAAATCATAAGTTATTAAATTCATGCAAGAAGCTCAGTTTATCGTTTTATAAAATTAAAATGAATATTATGATTTTGAGGCTTTAAACAGTTAAATGGAAAAATATGATAATATTTTAAGAGAAATTCAAAATAATTAAGGAGTATTTAATAATATTCTAGCAGATGAAAAAAAATCAACTTTATAACATTGGATCAGAAGGAATAAGCACTTAGATTTCTGCCATTTTTGTGTTGATAAAATTTTGAAAATGATAAAGAATACTAATAAATTACTAAAATTATTAGAACAATTGTCAATATTAATAATAAATTAGCTTTAATTATCTAATAATGAAGAAATTTAAGTTCATCTCAATACCTTTAATATGTAAATGTAACAAGTAGAATCCAAATTTTAAATTAAAACTTCAATTACTAATTTTATTGATAGTTTAAAGGAAAAAAGTTAATTATAGAGTTGTAACTGCATCGTTTAAAGTAAAAAAGACATAGGTTTGTAAAAATAGTAAATTGAATTAAGGAATGATTAATAAATTGAATAAGTTGAATCAACTTTATAAGAAACTTTAACTTTCTTTGAATTAAAATAATAAAGTTCGGATAAAATACCTCAAAATTTAGACCTTTTATACTTAAATATAATCAATAACCTATGCGAATAAGTAAAAATAAAAAAGTCGATATTTGATGTATTTGATTTAAGCAATGATTATAAAATTAGAGAATGCTTAGCTTTTAATTTAATAAAGCTATAGTAAGCAATTAAAGAAGACAAAATAGTAGAGTTTTCATCAAAACTGATTCAATATCTTTGGGTTTTTGAAAAAGATTAAAGAGTCAGAAATCTATTGAAAAATAAGGAATTAATTGAAATGTAAAAACTTTTTTTTTCTTAGGATATCAAATCTACATCAGAGTAAATAAAATAAGAAATAAAATTAAGAATCAACAGCATAGAAAGCATTTCATAAGAAATAAGACTTGAAGGAAATTCATAAATTAAAGAGCAACTTAAATAATAAACTAAAGCTAGCTTATGAAGAACTTGAACAATATAATGATAATATTACTGAAATGTCAGAGAAAATGGATATTAGTTTAATATTTTTAAAGGATATATCAAAAGATGTGAAGTAAATAAAAAATTAAATTGATAATTTATAAGAGAGTTTAAATTAAGTTGGGGATGATATTCGTAAATTAAGAGGAAAAAGATATGATGAATTATTAGAAATAAGAACATAAAAGATATTATCATAATCTAGATTAGCAGAAGTAGATTCTGTATATGTTTAATTGAAAACCATTGAATATGATCCTGTGACTGGGGAAATTATTAAATCCAAAGATGGAGTAATAATAACCAATTTAATGAGTGAATAATGGAATGATTTCACAGGTGAAGTTAATGAATTTATTTGGGATGAATCTAAATCAAATGATGTTATCGGTAGCTGTCAGGAAATGCTGGTTCTGGTAAAAGTAAAGCAGCTAGAAAAATTGAAGAATTTCTATGGAAATAAAGAGAAATTAATTCGAAATGGATTCCAATCTTTGTATCACTTCCAACTTTAAAAAATCCAAAATATAATTTATTTGAATAAGCATTAGAATCTGATAATTATTAATTTGATAAATATTAACTTAGAGAATTTAAAGATGCGATTTAAAATAAAAAAGAATATATCATTTTAATACTTGATAGTTATGATGAAATGAAATAAGATTGTATCTAATAAAATCTCATTATTACAAATAAGTTAATTAATGATTTGAATATTGATGAAAATTAAAAATAAGTCAAGATAATCATCACAACCAGAAGAGAAATATTAAACACTTTGGGTTATTAAACTTGGTTCTATGGGAATAGCATAAGGAGTTTAAAAGAAGTTTAGATCTAAGATTTTGATAAAGGTTAAAAAAGTAATTATTTAATTCAATATGCTGAACTTAGTGTTAAGAGAAAAATAAGAGCAGTTTATGATTTCTTGAAATAGATTTCATAATAAAACTTTAATTTAGATGAATTTTTAAAAATATGGTACTATGTTAATGTAGAAGTTTAAAACAGGATTTAAAGTTCATATAAAGAATAATCAGAATCAATCTTTGAAAATTCCTAGAGGGAAGATTTAATCAAGAGAATTTTAGAGTATTCTCCATTTAATTATTTAAAAGACGAATAGATTATAGGGCTCAGGAAAGATTTGTCATCTTTATGGAGTGTTTATAAATTTGAAAAGGCCATAGAAAATGTAGGTATTTCTGATTTATTATCAACTCCCTTCATGTTTGAAATTATTGTCTAAGTATTACCTAATATGGCAAGGCAATAGTAAGGTTCTGTGGATTTAAAAAATAGATTTGTTTAGGGTTATCTCAATATTATCTAAAAATCTAATTTCTCTAAATATTTATAAGAGAATTACAAAAATAATTTAGATCAAAAAGAAAATAATTAGGTAATCAAACCAACTTTTGATGGAAAAAGCCAAAAAATGAAATATTATGAGTAACTAAATAAATCAGAATTTTAAGCAAAAGCTACTTAACTTTTAGATTAATTGGAAAGCTTAAAGTTTTTTTAATTTTACTCAATAACTAGCATTCTTAAAATCGAAAATTAAAACTTACTAGTTGATAATTAGTCTTTTAGTATCTCTAGTCAGGATATAGAATATGTAGTTTAAGCCTTAAAGATGAAAAAGTTGACAATATTTGAGTTCTATGAGAGTTTCATTCATTTTTATCATGATTAATAAATTCAAAAGTTAAGAGAGACAGGTAAAATTTCAAATTGGGAAAGCTTTTAAATAGATATTCTATAATTTTCATCTAATTTAGCATTAGAAATGACTAAAAATTAATTATCTTAAATCACGTATTAATAAAAAGGAAAATTGAAATTAACAAATAATTATAACTGGTAATAAAATGATGATGGTTGGCTTGATGATTATTTTAATGATTCATAATAGGAACTTGATTATAATAAATTAATACGAAGTTGTATTCTCTTAAACGCTAAAGGAAGTATCTATTCCTTTACTCACAAATCTATTTAAGAATTTTATGTTGCTAAATACATTATAGAATTGCTGCTTTAATCTGGTTCTTAATTTTTGAATGAAGAAAATTTGGATTAGAAATATATTACCAGATTGATGGAATCATTATATAATAAACCTGCATTAAATATTTCAAAGGATCATTTTAAAGGAGTATTAACATTTATCAATGAGAAATTAAGTAACCAAGATAACATTAAACACATTCTTATTAATATTGTTAAATTATCTACAAATGAGAACTATATTTTTGCTGCTTCAAATAGTATTTTCTTGTTATCTTAATTGGATGTGTATTTAGGATACGAAAATTTTTCAGAAATTTAGTTAATTGATACAAATATCTCAGGTTTAAGTTTTTGTAACGCAGATCTAAGTAAATCTAAATTTACCAATATTAATATTAATTCTTGTAATTTTAATTATGCAAATTTGACAGATGTTGAATGGAACAATGTAAGATGTAAAGAAAAACCATTTTTAAAAGAAGATGAACAAGTTAAAGTTGTCGAATTTTCTTCAAATGGTAAATTAATTGCATCAAATGGAAAAGGAAATTTAGTAAGTCTTTGGGATGTGGAAAGTTATAAAGTCATTTAACAATTGGATGGTCATCAAGATACAATATTAGCAGTTACCTTTTCACCTGATAGTAAAACTCTAGCCTCTGCTAGTAAGGATAAAACAATAAAATTATGGGATATTTAGAATCCAGAAATAAAGTAGTTGATTTTTAATATAGACTATCATGATTATCAAGTTACAGCAATCAAATTCACTTCAGATGGAAAAAAAATAGCTTCAGTCGATAGTTCAGGAATCTTTGTAATTTGCAATTTTGAAAGCATCTCAGAAAAACCAGATGATATAATATTTTAGTGTCAATAGGAAATCTTGGTTTACACCTTTACTTCTGATGATTAATTGATCGCCTTAGGATTAGACGACTCTAGCATAAAACTAATTCATCCAAAAAGAAGGGCTGAAAGGATTTTAATAGGTCATACTGGAAAGATTCAGGCATTAGCTTTTAGTAAGGCAGGAAATAGATTAGTATCTGCATGTACAAATTTACTATTATTATGGGATTTGAAAGATAAATGTAAATGCTAAGTTTTATCGTTTAAAGAATATTAAATCTAATATTTGACACTACCCAATGAAAGAGAATTAGTCATTGGAACAGAAAACTATTTAGCCTATGGAGAATTTTAGTATGATGATTCTGCCTATCTTGCTAATATATAGTATTCCTATCATGTTTACTTATTCCCTAATTCTAATTTTGCTGTTATTGTTTAAGATTAAACACTATTAATATTAGATCTTAATACTTAAGCTATTATTAATAGTATATATTTTGATTAAGAAATAACCTAAATTGATATTACTAGTAATGAATAGAGATTAATAATAAAAGGAAAAAAAGTAAGATATTGGGATTTGAACACTTTCCAGGAAGTAATTCTTAGTAATAGATAAAAAAATTCATTTTATAATTAGGATTTAATATTTGAACAATGTTAAAATGAAATTATTATTTATGATGATAAAAATTAGTATTTCAATCAATCGGAAGAATAAGATTATTTCAATAATATCTAAATAACACAATTTTCACTCTAAGCTAATTATTAAATAATGGCCATGATAAGTAGCTAATCCAAATAAATATCTTTATATGATTTTAAAGAAAAAAAACTGATAGATAAATAAATTGAAAATTAAAAAAAAATTTCTGCTCTGGCTTTTTCTCCTTGCAAGCCTATATTATCTACAATATTTGAAGATGGAAGCCTATCTTTTTGGAATATTAGCATAGCTCCTTATTAGTGTTAGAAATTCAATGAAATAGATGATGGCGTTCAAATAGAATAAATCAACTATTCTCCTGATGGATCTTTATTAATTATTTAGACTAATGATTAAAAAATAAGGATTTTAGATGAAAATAATAATGGATCGGAAATAAAGATATTAGATTAATATAAGCCGTCAAGAGGAACTATTTTAATATCGTATGATAATAATACCTTAGCTATTAATCAAAGACAAAGTTAGGATTAAATAATTTTATGGAACATAAGCAAGAATGAAGAAAGAGTTTTGGAAATTGAGGATTAAAATTACAGCTCTCTAGTATTTCAATTTTGCCCAGATGGAATATCTTTAGTATGTTTAAGCGATAAAAACATAATATTTTGGAATTAAACATCAGGAGAGATAATTGTTAATAATAAACTTCCTTTGGATTCAGCATATAATAGTATTAGTTTCTCTAAGAATGGTAATTTATTTGTGACTGGTGGGAATTACATTAGGGTTTGGAGATATTTTGAGAATAAAATTGAGATGATTAATGCTTATAAACCTTAAAGTGTAATCAGCAAATTATTGTTAATTGATAATGATCAAAATCTTATATATCTTATGGAGAGAAAATTAAAAATAACTCCTCTCTCAAAATGCACTTTAAAGGGAATAATTCCTACCTCTAAAAAAGTTGTTTAATTTTTAACAAATGGATAGATTGTTACTAATGATTAATCTGATGGTATATCAATTGTTGACTGGAAATAGTAGAAATCAATATCTAATATCAAGTATAAACTTAATCATGTACAGTTCTTTCAAGATGGTTAGCATTGTATAATTTCAGTTAATATGAATATTTCTAAGCAGCATATTTATTCGAAGGAGGAAATCTTTAGTTTTACTATTTGCGAAGAAAGTTATTCTCTAAAGCTCACCAAAAACGATTAGGTTCTAATTTTATAATGTGAAAATACCATAAGACTATTTAATATCTAAGACCCCTAAAATATATATGAGATTTAAACTTATACAAATTAGTCTTTAGAATAATTTTCTTGGACATGTAACAATGATTATATAAGTTACATATCGAATTCTGATTTTGTCATTCGAGAAATAAAAACCCAATAAAAAATTAAGTGTTTGTTTCCAAAAAGTAAAATACTTCAAGTAAACTCTTTTGAATGCAATAATAAAATATTTATCCGAAATAAGGAGGGTTCAGGTATCTTTGATCTAATATCTTCAAAATTTGAATATTTTTATGAATTATTTAGATAATCTGCAATTTCTTCTGATGGATAGTTAATAGCTTGTAATTATTAATAGGCTAGTAATGGGTACTAATAAAGTTACTGCTTTAAATTTTATGACATTCAAAATAAAAAAGACTTGACAGTAATTAATGATAGTAAAATATTCCCAATCAAATTTTCTAAGAGTGGCAATTTATTGCATTACTATAAAGAGCATAACTAAGCAATAGTAGGTTCTCTTGATGAAAATAAATAACTAAAACTTCTCTGTTCTTTCCAATGTGGATCTGATGTAGATGAAGTGTCTGTAACTCCTGCTTTTGGTTTTATATTTATTAAGTAATCAAAGAGACTCAAATTAATAAATTTGAATTGGATGTCATAAGCCTAAATAATAAGCATAAGTTAAAAAATACAATATTTTGTAAATTAAAATTCTTTTGCAACATCTTTTGATAACTTATCAATCATTATTGGAGAATCTTCATAACTAAGGACACATAGGCTGGATTTAAATGTTGATAATAATGTTTCCCGAAAAGTTTCTGGAACAATAAATAGTTTAGAATAAATTGATTCTAATACTATTAGTGTTGGTAGTTATACATAGATATATTTGATTAAACTTAATAAATCTGAAGATACTCTACTAGGAGAACATGATAGAGATGTTACATGCCTCAGCTACTCATAGAAAATGAGATTACTAGCATCTGGTAGCATTGATTAAAAGATTTTTTTGTGGGATGTGAACGCTAAAAAGAAAATAGCAGTATTTGAAGGTCATACAGATTTTGTTAACTAATTATCTTTTTCATCTGATGGATAATGTTTGGCCTCTGCAAGTAATGACAAATATATTAAATTATGGAATATAGAATTAAGTGAATAATCAAATATTTCAAAAGGGCATTAAAAATGTGTAAACTAAGTTGCCTTCTCAAAGGATGGTCTTATTATTGCATCATGTAGTAAAGATCACTCAATTATTTTATGGGATTTATTAGAAAAAAATTTTATAATTAAGTTAGAAGATCATACTTAAGAGGTACTATGTATAGAATTCTCTTTTTGTTCTAAGTGGTTAGCATCAGTATGTAATGATGGATTACTATATTTTTGGGATGTTAAATTTCCATAGGAGACAACTTTATACTTTAAAATAAATGAGTTGTATTTATATCCAAATATCTTATGTTTTTCTCCATCAGGATGCTTTGCTACACTTTCAAATGATAGAGGTATATTTAATAATAGTAGAATGCAAACAATTACTAAAATTTAAGTTTGGAGTTTGGATAAAATAGATAAAAAAGATAAAAAATTTAAAATCTCTAAATATATGAGCAATCCCATTTGTATTTCAGATGAAGATGACATTTTATTTTAAGGTTATGATAATCAGGTTAGGGTTCATAATTTATCAACTGATTTAACTGAAAATCTTGAAGGACATTAATCAGAAGTTGTAATTATTAGATCATGGGATTATGGTCGATAATTATTAACAATAGATACTAATAATATTATGATTATTTGGTAGAAAATAAACAATAGTTGGAAAAAGTAATCATAAATTTTATTAGAACCAACAATCGTTTAAATTGATATAATTAAATTTGATTACCAAGATTACTTGGTTTCAATAAATAGTGATGCTATTATCATATCAAATCTCAATTAAATGTAAAAGTAATTGCCCTTTGTTGATATAGATATCTAATTCTAGAGTAGTTATTTATCAAACAGCTAAAAGTAATTTATATTAATTGGTTAAGATTAAATAACATTAATAGACAGCATTTCTGGAGAAATAAAATCTGAAATCAAGAATCTTAACAATTCTGAACAGTCTATTATATCATATGATGATCGATATTTAGCAATTTATTAAAGATAAAGATCTATGATCATTATTGTTGATATTTCTAAAAAATAAGATGATATGAATTTAGATTTTGAAGAAGCTCTTAAGTTTTTTGAATTTAGCAGAGATGATTCAAACATTCTCTATACAGCTTCAGAAAGTTGTGTGATATTAAAGTGGGACATAAAAAATAAATAAAAAGAAATTGTTACTAAATTAGAATTTTAATATTTAGATTACTTTTTAAAGTTTTCTAAGCCATGCAATTTTATAGTTTATTCTCTTAATAATACCTAGCTTTTCTTAGTCAATCTCAATGATTAATAAAAGTATTAAATAGATATTCAAAATTTGAACGGCATTGCAGCATTTTCTTAAAATGAAATTGTAGTAGCTTTGGCTACCAGAAATTGCAAAATTTATTTATGGAATTATGAGAAATCAATTATTAAAGAAATTACTTTGATTCAAAAACAATCAATTCACGATTTATAATTTATAAATTATGACACTGAACTGGTTTGTTGTTAAAAAGAAACAATTTGTATTTTTTCTGTTTAGGAAGATTTTTCATTAAAACTAAAAAATATTTGGTAGATAGAGAATTGTGATAGATATACTTTCTGTCCCATGCATTTATCAGTTTTTTTTTATAGTTATCATGGAATTAAAAGGATCCGCTCTTTGAATTCTGGATAAAGTAAGATTTTATAAGATGAACAATAGCAGCCTTTACAATTTTACTCAACTTATGATGGAGACTATATTGTATAATTAAATTAATAAGGCTTTATCATATGGGACTTAAAAAACTAAAAGTAACTGTTAAATACTGACATATGGTCTGGAACTAATGCTATGCTTATTGAATTAAAGATATTGGTAATAGCAAATTAGCATAAAATCAATATTTTAGACATTAAAGAAATACTTAATATTAAATTACTTTCATCAATTTATTTTGAAAAACCTATAAGAAGTCTCTCATTTGCATAAAAATAGGCATATTTTGTTTGTGGATTTGATAAAAAAATAAAAGTATGGAAACTTTTAAATGATGGATAATGTTAATAAGTAGCTGTTTATGATATATAATATATTAAATAATCAAATCCTGTTATTTCAGCAAATGGGAATTTTATAGTTTACAATTAAGAAGATTCATAAAATTTAATTAGGATCAAATAATTATATACTGAAGAGTTAATCAATGATTAAATAAATGAACTTTAATATTCATCAGATTTCTAAAATTTGATGACAATAATAGATGGACGTCCTTAATTGTTTACTTCAACTTTAGAAAATATAAAATGTAAATTAGATAGCATAATGACAGCTAGCGAAGCACTATCAATAAGTTCATCATCCATCAATTCAATATTTGCCATTTCATACAGATATTACATATTAATTGTTAAAATTATAGATAAAACTAAATTAACTATGATTAGAAAAATTGAATGTGAAGATTAGTGTTTTTCTTCAGTCATAAATCCCTTAGGAACTCTATTAATTGCTGGCAATTAATTTAGATCAATATATCTATGGGATTTAGCAAGTTCTGACCATTTAGATAAAATTAAACCAATTTTGAAAATAGAAAATTAAAATAATTAATTGAACAGTTTTACTTTCAGTCCTAATGGAACCGATTTTGCAGCAGCAATTTATGATGGATCTATAAATTTATATTCTGTTGAATAAATTAAGAATGATTAAAACATCAAATAAAACGATGAAAATTAAGAATAGACTTAAATTTAAGTAGCTGAAACTATTAAAAAAGAATTCAGACTAATTTGTTATAAATCGTTTTCCAGATAATCTTTATTATTAGCCAATTAATGCATAGTAAAGGATTCAAAAATCACCTAAAATGACAAATCAATCATTTAACTATTCAGATAAAAAGGAGCAAGAGAATGATATAGATATTATTAAAAATTTACAAAATAATATATAATCTATATAAATATCCATCATAATAATACAGATAATAACAGTTTTGACAGTTCTAATAAAAAATTTATCAATTTTAGTCTAAAAGCTAAACTATAGAATAATGAATACTTCCAATAAGACTTATGTTGAATTCGATTGGGTCGAAATATTTGATATTATGATTGCTAAGTTTTAACCGTTAATTAGATTATTTATTGTTTTAGATACATTCTAGGCAATCAAATCAAGATTTATACAGATTCTATAATTTTAAGATCTGTTAGCAAAAGATTGCGAAGATTCATTCTTAATGTCTAAAAGGATTATATCAAAACCAAAATTCATCAATAGATTTTGATTCACCTTAACAATACAAAATAATTGTTTTTCTTAATATGAGGGCAGCTGTACTATTAGTTTTTAATTATTTTAGATATATGATTTTCTATCCAAAAGTATTTTGATTCCTGAATCCTATAAGCAGGATTGTTATCTGATCTAAATTCACATTCCAAGATAAATTTGTAACTTTAAGACTTGTCCTTTATTCCTAGATTAGTGACTCAGTCATTTCTGCTACTTCCCTTTTTCAAAAATTTATACTGTCATACTCTCTGGATCAGCTGATATCAGTGATTCTTCAGTAGGTAGATTGAGTTACTTACAAATAACAATAACTTGGATTAGGAGAAATTTTATATCTTGCTTATAATGAATTAGTTATATTACTTAATCATGTAATAAACTTGAATTCTGGAACTTAATAATTAGTAAAACAAGGATTGGAAGGAATACTCAAAGTATTTTATTGAATTAATTATCTAGGCATTACCCAATCTACCGTTTATTTCAATAGATTTTATTCCTGAAATATCAGAGGTCTTCTTGTAAGAAAAGAAATGAGTATCCAAAAGTCAATATTATTCGAACAATAAATAAAATGACAGATCCTAAGGATGATCGATTAAGAATGCCTCTTCTCCTAGAAAGTGTTCTCATGCAAGGAACCAAAACAAAAAAAGAAGGAAGATATAATTCATAATATAATAATAAGATATATTATTTTTTACTATAAATATATTATACTAATTAGAGGAAACAATTAACAAGTAGAATCCTTGGATGTTGGAATGTATTGTAAGTTTTATTCTAAATAATTTTTGTCAAAAGCTTAAACAACCAGGATATTGATTAAATAGTTATTTACCAAATAATTTAACCACTCTAATAAAATCTTTAATTCTTAGCTGTGCCTTTAATTCTGAGAAATAAGAAATGGGTCAAAAGCTTAGTAATTAAGTATAAGTCTTAAAACTGTATCCAACTATTTATAAAAATGAGTTATAGGGTATAGAAAATTAAAATTGTACTTGCTTTTCACCAGATAGTAAATATTTGGCAAGCTTGACTCCTTCATTGCAAATTTTGGAGTTATAAAATCTTTAAATGATTCATAACTTTGAAGATTTTACTGGAGAAATCATTTAATTTTAAGCATCGGAAATATTAATTATTGCAAATAGGAATAAACTTTAATTTTTAAGAATCAATAAAATAGAGAAAATTGTCAAGAAATTAAGTTTATAAAATAATAATTGATATGGCACCTTAATAACTTATTAGTTTAAGTTAAAGATGATTTTAAAAAAAAAGCTGTATTTAATAATATTGATAAGTTTGTAGAAAGTTTATCTAAATCAGTTTGTAATTCCTAAAGTAAGCCATTCTTCTCAGAAAATGGTAATTATTTGGCTTTAAGCAATCAAAACATCATTGAAATCATGAATATTAAAAATATCAAATAAGAAAAATGCATATAATTAAACAGGTAAGTAATTAAGGTTAGATATTCTATTCAAATGATGGCAATTTGATAGTGGTTATTTTGACTAGACAATTTTTGATTCTATAAGTTTCAAAAAAATTAAAGAAATCAAATTAGATTTTTTAGTCTTTGATCTGTTCAACCAACTTCTAAATTTTTCTTTTTCAAGACAAGAAAGATCTTATTCAATTTTGCCTGTTAATGAGTTGAAAATTGTATAAGCTGAATTACTTTGTCATAAAAAATGATTTTTTATTAATAGAAGGTTAAAATTGAGTAGATTTCATAAGTTCAATTGCTTTATGGAAAGTAGAATAGTCTGAATAAATTTGCTTGAATGATAAATAAACGATAAATTAAAAATCTTTAGTTTTGTCCAAATAGAATTAATTTTGTAGCACTTCTTTTGGATGGTTCTATTAATCTATATTCTATTGATGTTAATTAAACAAATTTTTTTTAAAATAGTGTTTTGAATCGTTGAAGTTAAACGAGGATATCACTAAATTTTAAATATTTTTTTATAAATCGTCTGCCAAGTTATCATTATTGACTGCTCAATAGCCCATTTTATCAAAGATTAAGGATATAATCAGAAAATAAATCTAGTATTGAATTGTTTCTCTAAAAAGGAGCTTATTAATGAATATATAAAAAAATATTCAGTATTAAATTAATTCGTTTTTAAAGACAGTTTTTAATCTGGTTAATTATTTTTATGTCTTGTTTATATATATAATTTATTTCATTTGTAAAATAGATATTAATTTAAATTATTTTTCCAATGTTAGGACAAACATTAATAAACTTATACAATAAATCTAGGAAAATATATCTATTATATTATATTCAAATACAAATAAAAACGAAACTCTTTCTATTATTTAAATAAATATTTCAAAAGTATCATGAATATCAAATTGGTAAATTGCAAGGATAGCTACAATAGCAGTCTTTTTTCAGATGTGTTGAATCCTCAGCCACAAAAGTCAAAATTTTGTGCAACTTTTGTTAAGGGAACTATATAATAATTTGAAATTCAATTAAGAGGAGGAGGCTGTGGATAATCAAAACCAACTTCAAAAGTTGAAGAAAAGTTAATTATTGGTGTACCCAATGATTTATTGATTAAACTTGAAAATTATGTTAGCATTATCAATAATAAAGCTTCACTTTTAATTGATCCCTAACAAAGAAATGAAGTAATAATTGCATTTTAATGGTTTATGTATAATAGAGAACATTTAAATACTTGTTGCGTTAACCAAAATTTAACTTAATCAATATATACAAAATCTTTGAATTCTTTTAGGGAATTGCTAAAAATTCTTCCCATATATTTAAGATCTTCATGGTTTTTATGTTATTAAGTTCTTTAAATTTGTAATGATTTTTTGAGAATTATATATTCATTTTAAATACAGAATGAGGATCGAAAAATGGAATTAACTATGCAATAAGAATTATTACAAGATGTAGAGGAATTTAAAGGGTAATTGAGCATTGAATAAGCAAATGTATGGAATACAGGAATAGAATATGAAATAACTCTTATGAAAATAATGTTGATGAATTGTCAAACCAATTCAGAAGAAGGAAAAAATTTATTAATAAATATTGTTAAAAATGTAGCTTAGTCAGCTTTGGCAATGTCACCTACTGAAGACTTAATCCCAAGTCTTATTGAAGGAGCTAAATTTTTATTTTTACAATATAAAGACAAAGTATTATATCCTGAAGAGGTATATGCTACTTATTATTTATTCCAAACTCTTAAATGGACTATCGTGAGGCAATTAAAATCTTAGTACTCAGTCTATAATTAATTGAAATAACTAAAAGATGCATTTTAATAATATATTCTAAATTCAGATAATTGGATCATTCATTTTAGTTGGATATCAATGATAATGGATATTTTAGCATATAGACCCATTCTCGATAAATTTGAAATTGTTAAAGGTTCTCCAATAGAATAATAATCAATGTGGAATAATTTAATTGAAAATAACTTAATTCTTAGTCTTCCATAGAATAGAAATTAAGGGTCTGCAGTGTTATTTCAAAATCAAGTAAAATATTTTAGCAAAGAAATAAACAACTTAATGGAAAAATAGAGTATTCCCAAGTTTAAATTAATATCAGATTCTCTATTAAAAGGTTAATTTTCTCAGTAAATTAACCTTTGGAATTTCTATAAAGATTTTAGCTTTAAAAATAAGCACGAAATTACTATAAAGGATTATGAAATAGTTTTACAAAATAATGATGTATTATTTATAGAAAAGTAAATTGAAAGATTTAATTCTTAGTTAGATGAATTAGTTCTTCTTTACTAATAAATGAAAGATTCATTTACAGATTATTTTACTTAATAGGATAATACATAGCTTTAAATCAAATTACTCTAAGATGGTTATATTGTTTTTAGAAAATAAATTTTAGATGGATATAAATAGGCCTTATATTATCTCATTTTTGTCATAGAAAGATCTAATATTGACTTTGAAAAATTAAAGTTGCTTTTACCTTGCGTTGATAAATTTAAGATTGACGTTTAAGAAAAACTAAAGTAGATTTTTTAGAGTATTGAAGAATTTATTAAGGTCAAATTTTAAGCCTTCTTGGAAGATTTTGTTTCAAATTTTCTAAAAGTGGTAGAGTATTTGAGTTATCTATCTGAAATTACTTTAAATCCAATATCAAAAAAGTAAGATTTAGATGACGTAAATTCCAAATTTTAGATTCAAATTCACCTGAATTCTTAATAAAATTCCGAAATATCATTAATATTATAATAGTGCATAATAAATATAAAGGAATTTTAACAAAAATTTTGTTTCTCAGCATCAAGTATTAAAACACATGATTACAATATTAAAATTCCTCCTTTATAAATATAAGCTATGTCAAATACTATATGTTCAGGTTAATGGATTAAAACACTAAGGTAATAACTAGTTACTAATTTTTCGGATAGATTTGATTTGGGTCAAAAAAAAGTTGCAAATAAAAAGGATATTGAGAAAATTTATAGAAATTGTACTTTTAGTCTCTAAATATTAAAACTAATGAAACAATTTTGCTAAATCCACTAATATAAAATTAACACATTTGATTATAATTTAGAGAAGGAGAAACGTTTAGCCATTCAAGAACAATAAAAATTTTATTAAGATTTTAAATTAATTTTAATCAAGTAGTTAACATAATAAAAGGAAAAATTAGAATATATTTTGAAATCAAAAGACCTGGATAAAGGAAGTAATAATATTAAAGATAAAAAAAAATAACTCCTTTAATAAATAAAAACAGATTATTAGATGATCCAAAATGAATAAGAAAATATTATAAGCTAATAAACCAAAACGATCAAATCATAAGTTATTAAATTCATGCAAGAAGCTCAATTTATCGTTTTATAAAATTAGAATGAATATTATGACTTTGAGGCTTTAAACAATTAAATGGAAAAATATGATAATGTTATAAGAGAAATTCAAAATAATTAAGGAGAGTTTGATAATAGTCTGGCAGATGTCAAAAAATTGACTTTCTAAAATTGGATCAGAAAGAATAAGCATTTAGATTTCTGTCATTTTTGTGTTGATAAAGATTTGAAAATGATAAAGGATACTAATAAATTACTGAAATTATTAGAACAATTATTAATGTTAATTATAAATTAACTTTAATAACCAGATAATGAAGAAATTTAAGTTCATGTCAATAACTGCAATACATAAATGTAACAAGTAGAATCCAAATTTTAAATTAAAACTTCAATTATTAATTTTATTGAAAAATTAAAGGGATAAAGTTAAGAAGAGAGAGAGAGTTGCAAATGTATCATTTAAAGTAAACAAGAGGATGATTAATAAGATCATTAAATTGAAAGAGGAAATGATTAATAAATTGAGTAAGTTGAATCAACTTTATAAGAAACTTTAGCTTTCTTTGAATTAAGATAATAAAGTTCGGATAAAATACCTCAAAATTTAGACCCTTTATACTTAAATATAATCAATAACCTATGCGAATAAGTAAAAATAAAAAAGTCGATATTTGATGTATTTGATTTTAAGCAATGATTATAAAATTAGAGAATGCTTAGCTTTTAATTTAATAAAGTTATAGTAAGGAATTAAAGAAGACAAAATGGTAGAGTTTTCATCAAAACTGATTCAATACCTTTGGGTTTTTGAAAAAGATTAAAGAGTCAGAAATCTATTGAAAAATAAGGAATTAATTGAAATGTAAAAACTTTTTTTTTCTTAGGATATCAAATCTACATCAGAGTAAATAAAATAAGAAATAAAATTAAGAATCAACAGCATAGAAAGCATTTCATAAGAAATAAGACTTGAAGGAAATTCATAAATTAAAGAGCAACTTAAATAATAACTAAAGCTAGCTTATGAAGAACTTGAACAATATAATGATAATATTACTGAAATGTCGGAGAAAATGGATATAAGTTTAATATTTTTAAAGGATATCTCAAAAGATGTGAAGTAAATAAAAAGTTAGATTGATAATTTATAAGAGAGTTTAAATTAAGTCGGTGATGATATTCGTAAATTAAAAGGAAAACGATATGATGAATTATTAGAAATAAGAAAATAAAAGATATTATTATAATCTAGATTAGCAGAAGTAGATTCTGTATATGTATAATTAAAAACTATTGAATATGATCCTGTTACTGGGCAAAGTATTAAATCCAAAGATGGAGTAACAATAACCAATTTAATGAGTGAATAATGGAATGATTTCACAGGTGAAGTCAATGAATTTATTTGGGATGAATCTAAATCAAATGATGTTATGTTACTTTCAGGAAATGCTGGTTCTGGTAAAAGTAAAGCAGCTAGAAAAATTGAAGAATTTCTATGGAAATAAAGAGAAATTAATTCGAAATGGATTCCAATCTTTGTATCACTTCCAACTTTAAAAAATCCAAAATATAATTTATTTGAATAAGCATTAGAATCTGATAATTATTAATTTGATAAATATTAACTTAGAGAATTTAAAGATGCGATTTAAAATAAAAAAGAATTTATCATTTTAATACTTGATAGTTATGATGAAATGAAATAAGATTGTATCTAATAAAATCTCATTATTACAAATAAGTTAATTAATGATTTGAATATTGATGAAAATTAAAAATAAGTCAAGATAATCATCACAACCAGAAGAGAAATATTAAACACTTTGGGTTATTAAACTTGGTTCTATGGGAATAGCATAAGGAATTTAAAAGAAGTATAGATCTAGGATTTCGATGCAGTTTAAAAAAGTAATTATTTAATTCAATATGCTGAACTTAGTGTTAAGAGAAAAATAAGAGCAGTTTATGATTTCTTGAAATAGATTTCATAATAAAACTTTAATTTAGATGAATTTTTAAAAATATGGTACTATGTTAATGTAGAAGTTTAAAACAGGATTTAAAGTTCATATAAAGAATAATCAGAATCAATTTTTGAAAATTCCTAGAGGGAAGAATTAATTAACAAAATTTTATAGCATTCTCCATTTAATTATTTAAAAGAGGAATAGATTACAGGCCTCAGGAAAGATTTGTCATCTTTGTGGAGTGCTTATAAATTTGAAAAGGCCATAGAAAATGTAGGTATTTCTGAATTATTATCAACTCCCTTCATGTTTGAAATTATTGTCTAAGTTTTACCTAATATGGCAAAGAAATAGTAAGGTTCGGTGGATTTAAAAAATAGATTTGTTTAGAGCTATCTCAGTATTATATAAAAATCTAGTTTTTCTAAATATTTATAAGAGAATTACAAAATTAATTTAGATTAAAAAGAAAATAATTAAGTAATCCAAACAATTTTTGATGGAAAAAGCTAAAATATCTAATATTTTGAGAAACTTGAAATTTCAAAAATCTAAACAAAACCTGCTGAACTTTTAGATTAATTGGAAAGCTTAAAATTTTTTTAATTTTACTCAATAACTAGCATTCTTAAAATCGAAAATTAAAACTTACTAGTTGATAATTAGTCTTTTAGTATCTCTAGTCAGGATATAGAATATGTAGTTTAAGCCTTAAAGATGAAAAAGTTGACAATATTTGAGTTCTATGAGAGTTTTATTCATTTTTATCATGATTAACAAATTCAAAAGTTAAGAGAGACAGGTAAAATTTCAAATTGGGAAAGTTTTTAAATAGATATATTAGAATTTTCATCTAATTTAGCAATAGATATGACTAAAAATTAACTATCTTAAATCACGTATTAATAAAAAGGAAAATTGAAATTAACAAATAATTATAACTGGTAATAAAATGATGATGGTTGGCTTGATGATTATTTTAATGATTCATAACAGGAACTTGATTATAATAAATTAATACGAAGTTGTATTCTCTTAAACGCTAAAGGAAGTATCTATTCCTTTACTCACAAATCTATTTAAGAATTTTATGTGGCTAAATTTATAATAGATTTATTGCTTTAAGCTGGCTCTTAATTTTTGAATGAGAAAAATTAAGATGCAAAATATATTGAAAGATGGATGAAATAATTATATAATAAACCTGAATTAAATATTTCCAAGGATCATTTTAAAGGAGTATTAAATTTTATTAAAGACAAAATAGGTAGTCTAGATAACATAAAAAGAGTTCTTATTAATATTGTTAAATTATCTAAAAATAAGTAATATATATATGCTGCTTCAAATAGTATTTTCTTATTATCTTAATTGGATGTTTATTTAGGATATGAAAATTTTTCAGAAATTTAGTTAATTGATACTAATATCTCAGGTTTAAGTTTTTGTAACGCAGATCTAAGTAAATCTAAATTTACTAATATTAATATTAATTCTTGTAATTTTAATTATGCTAATTTGACAGATATTGAATGGAAAGATGTAAGATGTAAAGAAAAACCATTTTTAAAAGAAGATGAACAAGTTAAAGTTGTCGAATTTTCTTCAAATGGTAAATTAATTGCATCAAATGGAAAAGGAAATTTAGTAAGTCTTTGGGATGTGGAAAGTTATAAAGTCATTTAACAATTAGATGGTCATTAAGATTAAATATTATCAATTGCCTTTTCACCTGATAGCAAAACTCTAGCTTCTGGTAGTAAAGATAAAACTATAAAATTATGGGATATTTAGAATCCATAAATTAAGTCTTTGATATCTACCATAGATTATCACGACCATCCAGTCACAGGAGTCAAATTCACTTTAGATGGAAAAAAAATAGTTTCAGTTGATAGTTCAGGAATTTTAATAATTTGCAATTTGGAAGTTATCACAGAAAAACCGAAGGATATTATATTTTAGTGTCAATAGGAAATCTTGGTTTACACTTTGACATAAGATGATTAATTGATTGCTTTAGGCTTAGCAGACTCTACTATTAAACTAGCAAAATTAAAAGCTGGGGTTGAAAGGATTTTGGTAGGTCATACCGGAAAGATTCAGGCCTTAGCTTTTAGTAAGGCAGGAAATAGATTAGTATCTGCATGTACAAATTTACTATTATTATGGGATTTGAAAGATAAATGTAAATGCTAAGTTTTATCGTTTAAAGAATATTAAATCTAATATTTAACCTTACCCAATGAAAGAGAAATAGTCATTGGAACAGAAAACTATTTAGCCTATGGAGAATTTTAGTATGATGATTCTGCCTATCTTGCTAATATATAGTATTCCTATCATGTTTACTTATTCCCTAATTCTAATTTTGCTGTTATTGTTTAAGATTAAACACTATTAATATTAGATCTTAATACTTAAGCTATTATTAATAGTATATATTTTGATTAAGAAATAACCTAAATTGATATTACTAGTAATGAATAGAGATTAATAATAAAAGGAAAAAAAGTAAGATATTGGGATTTGAACACTTTCCAGGAAGTAATTCTTAGTAATAGATAAAAAAATTCATTTTATAATTAGGATTTAATATTTGAACAATGTTAAAATGAAATTATTATTTATGATGATAAAAATTAGTATTTCAATCAATCGGAAGAATAAGATTATTTCAATAATATCTAAATAACACAATTTTCACTCTAAGCTAATTATTAAATAATGGCCATGATAAGTAGCTAATCCAAATAAATATCTTTATATGATTTTAAAGAAAAAAAACTGATAGATAAATAAATTGAAAATTAAAAAAAAATTTCTGCTCTGGCTTTTTCTCCTTGCAAGCCAATACTATCTACAATACTTGGGGATGGCAGCTTATACTTTTGGAATATTAGCAAAGCTCCTTATGAATGTTAGAAATTCAAAGAAATAGATGAGCGCATTGAAATAGAATAAATTATCTATTCTCCTGATGGCTCCTTATTAATTATTTAGACCGATGATGATAAAATAAGAATTTAAGATGAAATTAATGGATCTGGAATAAAGATACTTGATTAATATAAGGCCTCTAGGGGAACTATTTTAGTATCATATGACAATAATACCTTGGCTATTATTTAAGGATTTATTTAGGATTAAATAATTTTATGGAACATAAGCAAGAATGAAGAAAGAGTTTTGGAAATTGAGGATTAAAATTACAGCTCTCTAGTATTTCAATTTTGCCCAGATGGAATATCTTTAGTATGTTTAAGCGATAAAAACATAATATTTTGGAATTAAACATCGGGAGAGAAAATTGTTAATAATAAACTTCCTTTAGATTCAGCATATAATAGTATTAGCTTCTCTAAGAATGGTAATTTATTTGTGACTGGTGGGAATTACATAAGGGTTTGGAGATATTTTGAGAATAAAATTGAGATGATTAATGCTTATAAACCTTAAAGTGTAATCAGCTAATTATTGTTAATTGATAATGATCAAAATCTTATATATCTTATGGAGAGAAAATTAAAAATAACTCCTCTCTCAAAATGCACTTTAAAAGGAATAATTCCTACTTCAAAATAATTTGGTTAATTATTAAAAAATGGATACCTTGTTACTAAAGATTATAATGGTATCGAAATTTTTGATTGTAAATAGTAGAAATCAATAGCTTGTATCGATTATAAACTTAATCATGTAGAGTTCTTTTAAGATGGTTTACATTGCATAATTTCAAATAAATCAAATATTGTTAAGTAGAATATTTGTTCGAAAGAGGAAATCTTTAGTTTTACTATTTGCGAAGAAAGTTATTCTCTCAAACTCGGCAAAAACGATTAGGTTCTAATTTTATAATGTGAAAATACAATAAGACTATTTAATATCTAAGACCCCTAAAATATATATGAGATTCAAACCTATACAAATTAAAAACTTATATTCATTTTCTTGGACAAGTAACAATGACTATATATGTTACATATCGAATTCTGATTTTGTAATTAGAGAAATAAAAACCCAATAAAAAATTAAATTTATGTTTCCAAAAAGTAAAATACTTCAAGTAAATTCTTTTGATTGCAATAATAAAATATTTATCCGAAATAAGGAGGGTTCAGGGATCTTTGATCTAATATCTTCAAAATTTGAAGTTTTTTATGAATTATTTAGATAATCCGCAATTTCTTCTGATGGATAATTAATAGCTTGTAATTATCAATAAGTTAGTGACGGATATTCATAAGGTTATTGCTTTAAATTTTATGACATTAAAAATTATAAAGATTTGACAATTATTAATGATAATAAGATACTCCCAATCTAAATTTCTAGGAATGGCAATTTATTGCATTACTAAAAAGACTTTAACTAAGTGATAAGTTCCATTGATGAAAATAAATAACTAAAATTTCTCTGCTCTCTCCAGGGCGGATTTGATGTAGGTGAAGTATCAGTGACACCTTCATTTGGTTATATATCAGTTAAGGAATCAACGAGACTCAAATTAATGAATTTGAATTGGTTATCAAATGCCGAAATAGTAAGTATAAATTAATTGAATGAAAAAGGTGAAAATAATTATTTTATTTTAATATCTTCTGATAATTCATAAATTATATCTGGATATTCTTCAGATATTAAGACATATAGATTTGATTTTTTTGAAAAAAAAATTCACAAATTTGTTTAAGGGATAATAAATTGCCTAGCACAAATTGATTAAAATATCATTAGTTATGGTTGTGATAAAAGTATATATCTGATTAATCTTAATAAAAAAGAAAATACTTTACTCGGAGATCACAATGACAATGTTAGATGCCTCAGTTACTCATAGAACATGAAATTACTAGCATCTGGCAGCAAAGATTAAAAGATATTTTTATGGAATGTGAATGCTAAAAAGAAAATAGCAGTATTAGAAGGTCATACAGGGAAGATTAATTAATTATCTTTTTCTCCTGATGGATAATGTTTGGCCTCTGCAAGTGATGACTAATAAATTAAATTATGGAATATTGAATAAAGTGAATAATCAAATGTTTCAAAAGGACATTAACAATGTGTAAACTAAGTTGCCTTCTCAAAAGATGGTCTTATTATTGCTTCATGTAGTGGAGATTGCTCAATTATTTTATGGGATTTAATAGAAAAAAACTTTATTATTATGTTAAAATAACATAAGTTGGCTGTTAAATGTTTAGAATTTTCTTTTTGTTCTAAATGGTTGGCATCAGGAAGTATTGATGGATCAATATGTTTGTGGGATGTTAAATTTCCTTAGGAGACAACTTTATTCTATAAAATAAATGAGCTATATTTATTTCCAGATTTCTTACATTTTTCTCCATCAGGTTGTTTTGCTACTATTTCAAATGATGGAGGCAAATAAAAAGATAGTAAATAAAAAATAGTGACGAAAATTTAAGTTTGGAGTTTGAATAAAATAGATTAAAAAGATAAAAAATTTGAAATCTTTTAATATGGGATCAATCCTATTTGTTTGTCAGATGATGAGGATTATATATTTTAAGGTTATGATAATCTAGTTAAAATTCATAATTTATCAACTGACTAAACTGATATTCTTGAAGGACATTAATTTGAAGTTGTAATGATTAGATCATGGGATTATGGTCGACAATTATTATCAATAGATAATAAAAATATTATGATTATTTGGTAAAAAACAAATAATAGTTGGAAAAAGTAATCGAAAATTTTAATAGAACCACCCATTATTTAAATTAATATAATTAAATATGATTACCAAGATTACTTGGTATCAATAAATAGTAATGCCATTATCATATCAAATCTTAATTAAATGTAAAAGTAAATGCCTTTAGTTGATCTAAAAATCTAATTTTAGAGCTGTTATTTATCAAACAGTTAAAACTAATTTATATTAATGGATTAAGATTAAATAAAATTAATAGACTGCATTTCTGGAGAAATACAATCTGAAATCAAGAATCTTAACAATTCTCAACAGTCTATTATATCATAGGAAGATCGATATTTAGCTATTTACTAAAGGTAAAGATCTATGATCATTATAGTTGATATTTCTAAAAAATAAGAAGATGTGAATTTAGATTTTGAAGGAACTCTTAAGTTTTTTGAATTTAGCAAAGATGATTCAAACATTCTCTATACAGCTTCAGAAAGTTGTGAGATATTAAAGTGGGACATAAAAAATAAATAAAAAGAAATTGTTACTAAATTAGAATTTTAATAATTAGATTACTTTTTATAGTTTTCTAAGTCATGCAATTTTATAGTTTATTCCCATAAGAATACTCAAATTTTCTTAGTCAATCTCAATAAATAATAAAAGTATTAAATAGATATTCAAAATTATAATGGCATTACAGCATTTTCTTAAAATGAAAGTTTAGTGGCTTTGGCTACAAGCGATTATAAAATTTATTTATGGAATTATGAGAAATCAATTATTAAAGATGTTACTTTGATTCAAAAACAATCAACTAAAAATTTATAATTTATAAATGAAGGCAATGAACTGGTTTGTTGTTAAAAAGAAAAAATTTGTATTTTTTCTGTTTAAGAAGATTTCAAATTAAAATTAAAAAATATTTGGTAAATCGACAGTTGTGATATTTATATATTCTCTCCTAAGCATTTATCAGTTTTAAACTATAGTGAATATGGAAAGAAAAGGATTTGCTTTTTGAATCCTGGATAAAGTAAAATTTTAATAGATGAAAAATTATAGCCATTAGACTTTACCTCCACTTAAGATGGAGATTATATTGTATAATTAAATTAATAAGGCTTTATAATATGGGACTTAAGAACGGAAAAGCAAATTTTAAAAACTGATAAATGGTCTGGAAACAATGCTATGCTTATAGATTTAAAGACATTAATAATAGGAAATCAAAAGGAAATCAATATTTTAGATATCAGAGAATTAGATAATATAAAATTACTTTACAACAGTTTTTAAGTTTAACCTCTGAGAAGCCTTTCATTTGCTTCAAAATAACAATACTATGTTTGTGTATTTGATAATAAAATATAGGTATGGAAATTTATAAATGATGGAAAATGTTAATAAGTAGCTGTTTATGATCTATAATTTTACGGCAAAAAAAATCTTTGTATTTCAGCAAATGGAAAGTTTTTAGTTTACAATTCATAAGACTCATAATAACTAATTAGGATTAAATAATTACATACATTAGAGTTAAATGATAAAAAAGTAAATGGCCTTATATATTCATCAGATTTTTAAAATTTAATTACACTAATAAGTGGGAGTCCTATATTGTTTACTCCTACCTTGGATATTATAGAGAGCAAATTAGAAGGAGTCATAAAAGATAATGAAGCCAAATCAATTGTATCAGCATCTGTGGATTCAATATTTGCTATATTGTATGATGCTCTCATATTAATAGTAAAAATTATAGATTCAAAGAAATTAACTGTGATTAGGTAGGTATCATTAAAAAGTCTCGAAAAATGTCCTACTTTCAGTATCAATCCTTCAGGAACCCAATTGATTGTTGGTAGTGAAACTGGTACAATTTATTTTCGGGATTTAACAAACTCTAATGATATGGATTTAAATAAATTTGAAGAAAATTAGAAAATAGAAAATTAGAATAATTAAGTGAATAGTTTTACTTTCAGTCCTAATGGAACTGATTTTGCAGCTGCAATTTCTGATGGATCTATAAATTTATATTCAGTTGAATAAATTAAGAATGATTAAAACATAAAACAAAACGATGAAAATCAAGAATAGAGTTAAATTTAAGTAGTTGAAAATATTAAAAAAGATTTCAGACTAATTTGTTATAAATCGTTTTCCAGATAATCTTTATTATTAGCCAATTAATGCATAGTAAAGGATTCAAAAATCACTTAAAATGACAAATCAATCATTTAACTATTCAGATAAAAAGGAGCAAGAGAATGATATAGAATATTATTAAAAATATACAAAATAATATATAATTTATATAAATATCCATCATAATAATACAGATAATAACAGTTCTGACAGTTCTAATAAAAATTTATCAATTTTAGTCTTAAAGCTCAACTATATAATAATGAATCCTTCCATAAGACTTCTGTTGAATTCGATTGGGTCGAAATATTTGATATTATGATTGCTAAGTTTTAACCGTTAATTAGATTATTTATTGTTTTAGATACATTCTAGGCAATCAAATCAAGATTTATACTGATTCTATAATTTGAAGTTCTGTTAGCAAAAGATTGCGAAGATTCATTCTTAATGTCTAAAAGGATTATATCAAAACCAAAATTCATCAATAGATTTTGATTCACCTTAACAATACAAAATAATTGTTTTCTTAATATGAGGGCAGCTGTTCTATTAGTTTTTAATTATTTTAGATATATGATTTTCTATCCAATAGTATTTTGATTCCTAAATCCTATAAGCAGGATTGTTATCTAATCTAATTTCACATTCCAAGATAAATTTGTAACTTTAAGACTTGTCCTTTATTCCTAGATTAGTGACTCAGTCATTTCTGCTACTTCCCTTTTTCAAAAATTTATACTGTCATACTCTCTGGATCAGCTGATATTATATTAGTGATTCAGTAGGTAGATTGACTTACTTACAAATAACAATAACTTGGATTAGGAGAAATTTTATATCTTGCTGATAATGAATTAGTTATATTACTTAATCATGTAATAAACTTGAATTCTGGAACTTAATAATTAGTAAAACAAGGATTGGAAGGAATACTCAAAGTATTTTATTGAATTAATTATCTAGGCATTACCCAATCTACCGGTTATCTCAATAGATCTTATTCCTGAAATATCAGATGTCTTCTTGTAAGAAAAAGAAATGAGTATCCAAAAGTCAATATTATTCGAACAATAAATAAAATGATAGATCATAAAAATGATTGAAACTTAATATAATTTGTAATTTTGGTTGTTTATATTTAATAAATCATCTATTACAGATTAATTTACTTATGATGATGCCTCTAATTTTAAATTGGATTAATACTTTCTCTATGAATAAACAATTGTAATTGTTTATTTAATCAAATTTCTTGAATGGCTATCATAGACTGAACATTATTATACTTTCTTTCCCAATAGAAAATACTATATAAGGAAATGGTTGATATCTCAATTATTTAAAAGAATTGTTATTGTATTTCATTAGTGATTCCACTTCATGTTCAACAAATTTTGATACTTTACTAAAAATCATATTATTCTTGTTAATTCAGGAAATTAAATGTTATCTAATCAATGAATTTATTTTTTACAACCAAAATCAATATTTATATAAGGGATGCTTTTCAATAATTTTATTGATTCAAATAAGCATGCAATCATCAAACATTAAATAATCCACTTATAAAATGCTTACTCTACATAATGTAGCTAATTTTGTCTTTGAGAAAATTTCAGATCTAATTCGTCTAAATTTTAAATTAACATAATATAAAGGATTGCTGAATCATAGAGAATAATATATAAGGAGTATGAAGAGTAGAAGTTTTCGATAACAAATAAAAATATATTTCTTTCTGATTAAGATTCAAATAGAATATTTACTTTATACACTGACGGATCAGTTCAAAAATAAAATATAGCGACACAATTGCATAAAACTGTATTGACTCGTCCTGAAACAAATAAAATTGATTTTTTTTCAATTTTCCATCAACCTTAAATTCTTATTCTATGTTAATCAAATATACTTATGGAATTTTCAAAAAAAAGAAAATTCTCTTTGTCTTTTAGAGAAGCATTTTCTCTAATTTTTTGTTCTCAAAATGAAGATATGGTTGTTTTGCTATTAGAAAAGGAACAAAGGTTTTTAAGAGAAATTAGTGTATATGATTTAGGTTTTAAATGTTTAAATTTCTATAATGTTTTATTTATATAGTTTTCACATGATAGTAATTGCTATTTTTCCATGTACTAATTAGAGAATTCTTGGATGTTAGAATGTATTGTGAGTTTATTCTAAAATAACTTTTGTAAATAGCATAATTATCCATGATATTGATTAAATAGTTAATTACCAAATAACTTAAACTCTCAAATACAATCTGTAATTCTGAGCTGTGCCTTTAATTCTAGGAAGTAAGAAATTGCTCTAAAACTTAGTAATTAGGTATAAGTCTTAAAGGTGTATCCAACAATTCATAAAAATGAGTTATAGGGTATAGAAAATTAAAATTGTACTTGCTTTTCACCAGATAGTAAATATTTGGCAAGCTTGACTCCTTCATTGCAAATTTTGGAGTTATAAAATCTTTAAATCATTCATAACTTTGAAGATTTTACTGGAGAAATCATTTAATTTTAATCATCGGAAATATTAGTTATTGCAAATAGGAATAAACTATAGTTTTTAAGAATCAATAAAATAGAAAAATAGTAAAAATTAAGAAATGAATTTATAACCTAAATAATCGATATGGCTATCTTCTTTAATAACTTATTAATTTAATTTAAAGATAACTTCAATTAAATAAAGATATATTTAATAATATTGATAAGTTAAGTTTGTAGAAAATTTATCTAAAGCAGTTTATAATTCAAAATGTAAACCGTTTTCTTTAGGATATGGTAATTATTTGCTTCAAGCAAGTAAACATCATATAAATCGTGAATATTAAATTACCATTAGAAAAAATGCACATAATTAAACGATAAATAAATTAAGGTTAGATATTCAAATGATAGCAACTTAATATTTGGTTAATTTTTGTCTAATAATTTAATTTGTAATCAAAATATATTTTCTATCTGAATTTTCATAAAATCAAAATATTTGTCCTAGATGTGTTCAACCAGTTTGTAAATTTTGCTTTTTTCAAGACTAGAAAGATCTTGTTCAATTTTAGACTGTTAAAGAATTAAAAATTATATTAGTTCTATTGCTTTTCACCAAAAGGGGATTTTCTAATAACAGGAATATTAAAATTAAGTAGATTTCATAAGTTCAATTACTGTATGGAAAGTAGAAAAGTTTAAATAAATTTGCTTGAATTATAAAATAAACTATGAAGTAAAAATTCTTAAGATTGTTCCATAAGGAATTAATTTTGTGGCAGGTCATTCGGATCCTCTGTTTATTTATACTCTATTGACGCTAAAAATAATTGTTTAATAAAATTCGTGTATGAATAGCTGGAACTAAATAA